CAGGGCATGCGTATTGTTTCTAATTCTGAGCCCTGCCCTTTTGCGGGGTTCTTGTGCTAGTCTGTTCCTCTAGGCAAAGGGCCTGCCACTTAGAATGTACCGCATGTCTGTCAAACCTGTCAGTAGATTGTACGTGAGTGCGCGTGCGTTTCTGTGGTGCCTTTGACATTCCTACTTGCACCAACACTAAGTAAGACCCTTGCAAGAATCCTGTAGGCAGGAGTCTCGTCCCAAGAAACGCACTTTGCATCCCAAGCTGAAGCAAGCTCAGTCCTATGAATAAACCTTAGAGACCCGGGTTCCGCGTCGGCTACCTGACACAAAGCTGCCGTGCCGAGGCCTCAGATGTCATGGGTTTTTGGCACGCGCTCTCTGCTAGCAGTCCACAGCGCTCCTGTTTAGGGTTTAGGGTTTTCTGAAGGTTCAGGGTTGATGACTCTTTCTCATGAGCGACTGACATGCTGCAAGCTTTCGTCATCCTGCATCCCTGACAGTGCAGGGTGCGGCAAAGCAGCAGTGAGAGGCGGTTGTACCAGACAGGTCACTGCCAACAATTTGTGACTTGCGGCTTCTGGTAGCGAAAATGTCCGACAGATGTCGAAAGGGTGGGTTTCCAGGGTCATCCGAGTACTCTCTGGAGCCATATAAGTATTCAAGTATATAAGTATATAAGCATATAAGTATATAATGAGTATATAATAAGTACATAAGTACATAAGTACATAAGTACATAAGTACATAAGTACATAAGTACATAAGTACATAAGTACATAAGTACATAAGTACATAAGTACATAAGTACATAAGTACATAAGTACAAGTATATAAGTATATAAGCATATAAGTATATAAGTATATAAGTATATAAGTATATAAGTATATAAGTATATAAGTATATAGGTATATAAGTATATAAGTATATAAGTATATAAGTATATAGGTATATAGGTATATAAGTATATAAGTATATAAGTATATAAGTATATAAGTATATAAGTATATAAGTATATAAGTATATAAGTATTTAAGTATTTAAGTATATAAGTGTATAAGTGTATAAGGATGCAAGTATGTAAGGGCACTTTTTAGTACATAAGTGTATATTTTATTTGTTTTTTTGATTTGTTTTTCTCTTATCTTCATTCTTCACCAAAAAAAACACATCATCTACCAGAGAAAGAAAGCTCAGCCAATACAGTACTCCATACTCGTTTCTAAATGGGGTAGTCTGCTACTGCTGTTTACCGTCCTGGCCGGGATTGCCCTCGTTCTCCGATATGTGTCTTCCTTTCTTCAGCACCTTTGCGTGTGAAAGGGCGCCTTACGACTTACTTGTTTACAGGACGCAGTTCAGCCATGCTTGAGCTGGGCTAGAACGAATATTGCTCATCCCAGTTGTTGCGTTGTGCAACTTGGGCATGCGACGGCATGCGCCGTTTGGCTGCAGTTTTCCGGCGCGAGCTTCTGCACCTGCAAACTCAGCAGGGGGTTCTGTCACGCGCGGAAGTTGCTTAACAGCTCCGACAAAACGGCGCCACCTGCGTTGGACTCCAAGCCACAGTCGCTGAGATCCAACTGTTGAAGACTAGTTGGAAGCTGAGGCAAGAGAGTCTGCAAACCCAAAGCACCCATCTCGGTATTGCCGCTGAGATTCAAGCTCTCCAGCCTTGGTGATCTAGGCCGGAATAAGTCTTGCAGATCCATGTCGTGCGGCGAAAAGCCGCAAGATGCCAGGCTCAGCGAGCGGATGTTCGTGTCTGGGAGCACCTCCCCCAGAACCAAGCAGAGTCCAGCTTGTTGCAGTTGTGGGTTGCCCGACAGCGACAGCGTATGGAGAGCAGGCATAAATTCCAGAATGCATTGCACCGTTACAGCTCCAGTTCTGCCCATAAGAGAACAGCAGCCTAAATCCAGAGCCACCAAGTTGCAGCAACACAGGACGGTAGCAAAACTATGCAGTCCGTCGTTTCGCAGTCTATGATTCTTCTGAACGCAAAGACTTGAAAGTCCAGGCAGCACCCCAACAATGTTCGCAAGAGCTTTGCCTGAGTCAACACCCTCGAGCCCGCACTCTCCTAGATTCAAGAATCTCAAGTTGGAATGCCGCGGGCAAGAACTCACAAAGGCTTGAAAGGCATGCTTGCCGAAGTCATGGTTTCCGTATAAGCTCAGGTTCTCCAAAAGATCCATCGCGCCGAGTAGTCGAGCCAGCGCAACACCGTCGGTCCAAGTCTGTAGGTTTGAATGGTCAAGGCATAGGGACTGCAGCTGAAAATGTGCACGAAGCTCGACCGTGCCCAATGTAGAAACCCCTCCAAAGCCAAGTGTCTCTTGTTGAAGTTCGGAACTATCGGAACTGGTGATCAACTGGGGATGCAGGCTGGCAAAGTTGGCTTGATCCGAGCGAGCAGCTCGCAAACAAGACACAGATTGCAGAGAACGCCAATCATGAAAAGAGTGTTTTTCGTCTACATCGATGAGTTGGATGCTGGGGCACTTGGCAAGCAAACCTTCAAAATGACGAGAATCCAGATCTCTGGGCAAGCCACTCTTGCGCAAGTCTAGCTTGACGAGGCTGCAGTGCTCTAATTCGTTCCCCATGGCCAGAAATCCATCCAAACCCAAGCCAGCGTTGTCTGCCAAATTCAATACGGCTAGCTGAGGCATAAGCCGAAGAATCCGAGCGACAGCCTTGCCGCCGTTGACATTTTGGAGACCGGTGTCACCGAGGTCGAGCCTTCGAATGCTGCAGCGCAAGCCTCGCAATGCCTGGGCGAAGCCTTCGGCGAAGAAACGCAAGCCTTCCGCCTTCAAGTGGTTGTTGCTGCGGATGTCGAAGTTCTTCAGGTTTGGAAACGTCGTCAGCAAGGCAGCCAAAGCAAAGCCGGAAGGTGCATCAAGACTGCAGTCGGCCAGTATCAAAGTATGCAGCGAATATGAAGGCATCCCCAGGACAATCGATGCAACATCAAGGCCCGAAGACAAAAGGGACACGGCCCCAAAGCCATTGTTTCCACTTAGATCCAGGGTCTCCAATCCTGGTGCTGCTTGCAGAAGTCTGGCGACCATCCTGCCACCTTCTTCTCCATAAAGGCCTATTCTCGCCAGCGAGACAGCTCTAAGCTGTGCTCCACATGCTCCACCTTCTGGAAATCCTGCAGTTAATGCGTCCATGCCCGCAGGACCAAGCGAGTTATCACTGAAGTCTACGTCCAGCGAAGGCTTTAGCAGCACCAGCTGCATTTCAAGCGGCTCATCCCGGCTCGAAACCCCCAACTCCTGCCATGTTTGTTGATGGCCCAGAATGCGCTGGCCTAGAAGCAGCTGAGGAAAACCGCCTGGAATCGCATCACGCAAGTGAAGCGAGCGCAGGACATCAGCGACGGTTGCACCAAGTCCGAAGGCAAGCACGTGGCAGCTTCCGTCCATACATTGGACACGGCATTCGATCTGCGATTCCTTGGTGCTCTAGGCACTGACTGACACCAATCACGGCTGGCCAGAAGGCAAAACATTACCACATGAAGCACGGGGTCAGCCAAATCCTTGATGTCGCTGTTTGCCAATTGGAGTGGTGAAGCCACATCTTGGTCTTGGAGCCGTAATGGCATTATGGCCAAATCTTCGTCGATGTCTGAGTCCACGCGCTCTGCATCGTGTTCCCTCGCAATGTGGGAATCCCTGAGAGCTGCAAACCCCTTCTCCCGCAGATTGAAACCTGCAGTTCCTGTCGTGCCGGCACTGCCTTCCACAGGCAAAGGCTCTGTTGACAGCTTGCTGCTCTGATGCCCCATTCCAATCGTCCTGACTTATGAGCTCATTTGCAGCCTTTATTTACACAATGCCAGCTACAGACATTACCCGCCGACTGCTACAAAGCCTTTTGCCACATGGGGGGGCAGTGGAAGTGGGCTTTTCAGACTCAATTTCATGTGGCTGACTTTTTCACTGATGTGCTCGACTCAGCCTTGGGCCATATTCGGCGTGGTTGTGGTTCCTCAACTTTGTTCAACTCATCCGGGTTCGAGTTGCCACGGCTTCAAACAATTAATGCTTTGGGAAGTGAAGGAGTCTTCTCTACAGGGAAAGGCCATAGTCATAGTAGTAGTAGTAGTAGTAGTAGTAGTAGTAGTAGTAGTAGTAGTAGTAGTAGTAGTAGTAGTAGTAGTAGTAGTAGTAGTAGTAGTAGTAGTAGTAGTAGTAGCAGTAGTAGTAGCAGTAGTAGTAGCAGAAGTAGAAGTAGAAGTAGAAGTAGAAGTAGAAGTAGAAGTAGTAGTAGTAGTAGTAGTAGTAGTAGTAGTAGTAGTAGTAGTAGTAGTAGTAGTAGTAGTAGTAGTAGTAGTAGTGGTAGTAGTAATAGTAGTAGTAGTAGTAGTAGCAGCAGCAGCCATGCGCTCCGTGTGGCGCCTGGTACTTTCTTACCTTCGCATGCCGAAAAAATCGGCACATACGACACTTCCTGGCTTCGTTGCGCGCGAATGGACACAGCAATCACGTGCGTTGGAAATTCGTATTGTTACCAGCAGACAGCCCCAATATTTAGGGAAACGTGCACACGCCTTTTTCTTGAGCCGTGAGCGAACAACGGTAAGTAATGAAATGTCTTTCTGTAACAACACCCCCCGCGCAACTTAGTGCAACGTAAGAGGCGTCAAAAGTTGAGGAAAGACAAACGATGTTCGCTACAGTCGTACCTAGTACGCAAAACGACTGCATCTTGAGGAAATTTCACCTCACATAACCAGCTGAAAATAAATCCAGCCCGTCAGGGAGGTGCTCTTCACCTGTTACCCTGAGGATAGAAACTGACTACAACTGCTACTGTGTAGCCAGCTCGTCAGAGCGGCGAAGGAGATGCAGTGCGGCGCACGGGCACACACACGTAGGCTGATGGAATCAGAAATGCAAAGAACGAAAACAATTTGCTCAAAAGTGCTGGGTCGGCGAATCCGACCCGTCAGGGTGGAGTGTGCAACCCTGACCATGCCTCCTTTTAGGCCTTAGTACCGCCTCTCTTGCACACCAGTGTGTGGATTCGTGACGTGGTGTTTCCATCCTCTGAGATACCACAACACGTGGTCGTAGTCGTAGACGACGATCCCCCCTGGGTTTCCCCAAGCAGGAAGGGCGTTCACCACCTCTTCTTCCGACACCCAGTGCGCATCCCGGGCCTTGAGCATGGCCCAGTAGTACCCGTCAAGAAGGGTCCAGGTGCTCGAGCGCGTCCGCGTCGGGTCGATGAGATCACCATCATGGTCGAAAGGGTAGTGCTCTGGAAGGTCAGCAAAGAGTTCCTGAAGAATGCTGAGCCTTTTCCCAATCTCGACATCGACTCGGCTGCGCCTCTCGGCCAACCATTCTCCTTCCGTCATGCTTGGTCCAGTGGGATCCACGCGTCTGCGGGATGTGCGCACCTCTCCAGGGGAACCCGGGCGTCGCACTGGCGGAGGCCGCGGGGTCGAAGCCCTGCGCTGTGGCGGTGGCCTCGCAGGCATTGCTGAGCTGAGACCTGGAGATCTGCCCCTCGATGTAGCCCTTGACGGCGTGCGCTCCCTCGCTCCCATAGAAGGCCCGTACTTTGCTGTCGGTGGGCGGTAGCCTTCAGCTTCCGCTGGGCGACGGGCCGGCGCTGAGCTTCTGCGATCAGCTGTGGGAGGAGGAGGAGGTCGCATCATTCCGAGTGAGGACGCTCTCGTGGGACGAATCCACTCCGGCTCGACACGGTTGGAGTGCAGATGCCGCTGGTAAAACCTGGTATCGCGGAGCAGCTCATTCAATTGGGTCTGACCGAGGCAAGCAAACCCGTCAGGGATGCGGAGAGATCGAGCCAAGTCCACGTGGCGTGGTGCAGGATCCTGACGGCTTCCGCTCAGGGGAAGTTGATCCTGGAAGAAACGACTGACCTCCGCCATCACTTCTGAGACGGTGCCTACCCTTGGTGTGAACAAGTCACCATCGTAAGAGAGAATCGTGAAGGGTCTCTGTCGCCCTTCCGGGGACTGCTGGGTGGCATAGATGATCATGGATATCTCATCAATGAGATAGAGCCTTGACTGAAAGGCCACAAAGAAAGCTTCATCCAATGAGACTCGGTCGTCTCCCGGACGATAGGCGATTGAGACTCTGGCGTCAGCCCGGTGAGTGCCAGCGAATGCTCTCCTCTCGTTGGCATCAGCCCCGGGTGCTGGATTGTGCAAATGGGCGAACATGTCCAGCTGGGCCAATGAAGTGATACCCATACCACGGGACGCAAAATTGTAGGCGTCGAGGGGATTGGTGAGAGCGTCAGCGATCGACTGGCCTCCCCTCTTCATTGCCGATTTTCTCATGCTCACGCATTTGCTGCGTACTGCTGCAGGGAGACTTTGATCTTGTGCTTCGCGCGTTCCTCGCTCTGCACGGTGCCGGTTCATTGCCAACCCCGGCCGGGGGGCGATCGACATGATGTCGATGTTCCGTCCCTTCCGGGAGGACTCCAGGCGTCGTTTGCTGGGTTCGGCAACATGTGCCATGTCACTCTCAGCTGCGATTCTGGAGCCGCAGAACTGGCACTCAATCATTCCATCGATGTAATGTTTACGGCAACTGGTGCAGTAAAACCAGGGAAAGGAAACAAGCTCCTGGACGATGAAATGGTCGAGCTCGGAGCGGTACTTTCGATCCACTCGGATGCCCTTTGCGGAGAACCACACCTTGAGCGTGGAACCCCACTTGGCTTCCGCCAGTGGCTCGGGCCGCGGTGCGTTGTCGGCGAACTTGAGGTCCTCGAGCCTGATGATCTCATCTTCAACCGTGAGGTTCTCTTCATGGGCGATTTGGTACGGCCTTGTCATGTCAGTGATGTAGTGCCGGTACTCATGGAAGTTGAGCCTGGTCTGGAGGCTTTCGAGGTAGTCAAGGTAGCAACCCTCCTCCGACCAATCGTCCAAATGGCCCTGCTCGAAGATTGGACGCGGCTCCCGCCCGTCGTGAACATCCTTGCACGCATTGTGCAGTCGGACGCGGAGCAGCTCGTACACACGGTTGTGCCAGATGGGAACCTGGGAGTGGCGATCATAGCAGTAAACAATGTACCTGTTGGAAATCCAGTCAGGTGTCTGAATTGCATCTGCCTTGGATCTAAAGATCCGCACGCCCTCCAGGGCTGCGAGTTGCAGGTCGATGACAAATTCAATGTCAGCATCTTCACGAACGCCTGCATGACTCTCCCTCTGCCACGCCGGTACGGGAGACATCATCACGAAGTAACGGCTGGCACTTCCATCTGCAGCAACCCCTCCCGGGATGAGACCATCTCGAACGATGGAGTGCAGATAGCAACGATACGTGCCGTGGTAAGCCAACTTTTGGCATGCTTTCGAAGGCCTCGCTGGTGTAACCAGTGGTTCCCACCCTGGGCCTGTTTGCCAAATTGAGTTGCCAAAGAGAGGACAGATGGTACGAGTGGGTGTTCAGTGCCATCACGTCCGTCTCTTCCGAGAGGAGTATGCCGTCGTGCCCCTGAATCGCTCTAAAGGCACGCAGCTGGACCTCCCTGTCGGGTTTAATGACAACCTTGACTTCGAACCGCACTTTGTCGTGAGTGGATTTGAGGACGTCCACCACGTGCTCCACACGGAGGCCTCTCCACATCATTCCCAACTTCTCGAAAAATTCGGACCATTCAATAGAATTGTCCCTGGCTGAGATGTGGACCGCCATTTCTGGCGCTCGCCGATTGGCGAATCCCCGGGCAAGGAAGGACATCTTCTTCGACAAGCAGACCCGGGCGTTCTCCGTGAGGAAACGGTAATCATCCGGCAGATCGGGGAGCTGATCGGCAGTAACCCAACGCGGCAGCGTGGGAGGCCTCGGCTTTGCCTTGGGGACAAGGGGTGCCTGAGAAACGGCCTCGCTCGGCTGAGGGGCGTCGGGGTCACTGATGACGACCACGGGAGAAGGAGGCGCGACCACTTCAGCTCTCTTCAAGGAGTAGGTGTCGGCATTCTCATATGGATCATCATCCTGCTCCACGAATTGACTGAGGAGGGTAATTTCCTCTTCAGCCGCGACCGCGGTGAGTTCTTCCTGCGTGATGCCCTCTGCCGCTTGGTTGGCCATGACGAGGTGTTCCTCAGCAACCACGTTGATCGGGTCGCTGTCTTCAATCGCGAGGACGCAACCTGCGCCAGGCCTGGTGTCATTCCTGGCAAAGTCTAACTCAGTGATGGGCTGCGGATTGCAGCTCTGAGCCGAGTCGTCGTCGACAACTTCGTACTCCGCCTCCGCCAGGAGTGGACCGGCCAACACAATCTCCTCTTCTGCCTCCCTCGCCAGAGGTGGGTCCGGTGAATCGACAATCTTGGAAAGGATTCTACCGGACGCAGGGGGCACGGTGAGGAACGGTTCGGGCTTGTTCAACACATAGTGTGCATGAAAAACGGCTTCTCTTTGATTTGCGATGAGTTGCTGCTCAACAGCGAGAAGGCGGTAATCTGTGAGTATGCCGCGGAGCATCGCCGCGTGCCACCTAAGGGTGCTCTGCAGATTTTGATCCGACGCGTCAGCGTGGAAGCCATCAGGCCTGCTGGTCTGCTCATAGAGCTCCACAGGGTCAATGATGGTGCATCCTCCGCTCATCAGATCTCGGGCGTGCTTCTTCATGCACCTGTCATAGAGCTCCCCGACCGGGAAGAAACAGGAGTGATGGCTGCCCATCAAGAAAGACACACCCGAGACGTCAGTCCGGTGGAGGAGCTTGCACGCTCTCTCACACGCCCGATCAACACGAAGCTTCTGCTTTGCAGGCCAAGTGTCAATCTGCTCGAGCTCCTCGGCTGTTCGCTTTGTGAACTTGCTCTGAAGATGCCAAGTGTAGCCATGATAGCCGTGTTGGCCCCATACATCGTTTCCTGACCATCCAAAAATGATGTGGGTAGCCGCCCCTTCCGGGTGGTGATCCCTCGCCTCGTTAAGGTGCTTGAGCGCCTCATCGATGAGCTGGTCGAGGTGATACCCCCACTTCATTGAGTAGATTAGGCTCTCCACTTCTGGATTGTTCCTGAAAACGTCTTGCATGAGCGGCTCAATGGTCATGCGGTGCGTAGGCTTCCGCCCCGTGTAATGGCACAACGCAAGGGAAGAGTCTCCGACGATCAAGAACCGTCGCCTCTCTTCCGGAGGGAGTGAAATGCGCTGAAGGGCAGGAGTAAAGAGCTTCTCGACAAGACTCGAAGTCTTCGCAAAATACTGGAAGTCGGAAGCACCTACGCTAAGATTGGCAATTCTGCGGCAAATGTCATAGTGCTTAGTGGAATCGATTGCACCGCCCGCCTTCGGTCCAAACGCCAGGGTGGCCAGATCCTGAGCATGTCGGTAAAGGATCTGTATCCAACCCCCCAGGGTGGAGTCACGAAGCACGGAGGCATCAATCTCGGTCTCCGAAAACACACGGACTCCGTGCTTGCGATAGAATCGCTCGTAAAGCACCGTCCAATGGGACGAAGGGTCCTCTTCACGCAGCTCCCGCCAGCGGTAGATGGGAATTGTGCCGAGAAATAAGTCGTCGTCAGCATCGTCATCCTGTGGTTCAACCACAGCTTCCGCCAGGTCACTGAAACTCGGTGGAAGAAGGATGCCAGCCATGGCGTCAGCCAGGCGGTCGGGGTCCACTAGCGCTTGCTTGAACTCCGCGACACGCTGCTGGCGTTCCTCGTCAGTCAGAAACTCGGTCATGGTCGTCGAGGTGATGATGGCTGGGCACGCTGGGACTACAGGGGAGCTTGATCTAGCCGCTGCAGAGGAGTTCACTTCCTTAAAGGCTTTGTGAATAGCCCGTGCAAGAGGTTTACTGTAATTTTCTGATTCCTTCAGGCATTTAGCATGCTCGTGGCTGCGAGTGCACTTTTTGTCATTGAGACGATTGTACACTGTTTGAAGGGTAGTGGCAACACACCACGGCTTTTTCACGGGAACACCCTTCTTGTTATGCAATCCGAACCTGCAACCATCAAATTTGGCATAAACAAACGGATGCCTATCAAGCCACTTCCTCACTTTGTCCCATCCCCAATACTCACAGTCCCTTGGCCATTCAACACAGTAGTCGACGGACGCCTTATCAAGGCCCTGAGAAAGATCAACGAATGATGCCCACAACTTCTTGAACTTTCTTCTGGCATCAAGCACAGCATCTCTATTTTTGGGAACCTTAAGGTTGATTCTAGTCCATTGACTGCCACCAGTGCAAGGCAAGCTAACCCATGTTAGAACACGAGCGCCAGCTCGGTGGTGTTCTTTAGCAATGTCGATGATGGCTCTACGGGTATCTGGTGAGTTAAGGTCCATGCTTTCGGTGACTCTAACTACCTTACACTCGGGAAACTCATGATGAGCTATTTCCCCAATGATGGAGTCATCACTACAGCAAACCTCTATAATGACCCGCTTCGTTTTGCTGTCGGGCCTCGAGTCGCTCGCAACGGCGGGTGGCGGAACGCTGGCCGGTGTAGCCTTACGGCTCTCGAGCTTCCGCTGAGTGATTCCCATCAATAGCAAGGCATTTCGCCACTTTTCAGCATTGGTAAAGGGTTTTGTAAGGATGTCAGCAGCTTGAAGATTGGTGTTGATGTAAGCAAGGTCATAGTGCTTCCTACGAAACTGCTCTGCGATCCATCCTAAATTGATTCTTTGAGTCTTGTCAGAATGACGGAAGGCTGGGGATTTTCCAGACTCTAGGATGCGGATGGTGGCCTGATTATCCTCTAAGACAACTGGCTGAATCGAATGAGGCACAGACATTATTAGTCCGAAGTCGCAAGGTTTCCTAGTGACTCCAACCTCAGTATCGACACCACCCCCCGAACCCCTTATGCCCTCGGCTTCCCTCTGAAGGATGGCCTCCGCTTCCGCGTGGCGGCGGTATTCTGCGGTGGACCTTCTATACACGAGGATGCCATACTCGAAATCATCTGGAGGCAGAGTGCGTTCGTCTTCATCCAATTCTTCCCAAGCAACCGCCCTTTGATGCAAAGTCCACTTCCCCTTTTGGAGTAACCAAAGATCCCTAATAGGGTGACTAGTCAGCTCAACGGGAAAGGGTAAAGAGCTACTTTTGCTAAAAACCTCCACAATCCTTCCGTCTGCAAGGAGATGACGTCCTGTCTTGTTGATGGTCGAGATTCCCTGGAAAGGATAAGATTTGGGTTTGAAATCGTGCTTAGCAATGTCACTACGAAGAGGCTTGGGAGCTGTATCCCCCCCCGCGTTCAGGAGCACGCTCCATAGTGCAGATGAAGGAAGACCCAAGGCTCGCAGAGTAACGTTCGCACACACGACTTCTGCTTCAGTGGAACTAAGCGCGGTGCTCGTTTGCTTTTTGCTAAAAGCGGACAAGGGAAAGTAGGTGTTGGGTCCTACCAACGCGAGGAAACCTCCTGAAGTGCTTTTGTTGTCATGTTCGCCTGCGTGATCAGAATCAGCGAACAGCCAGAGCTTACACTTATCAAGGGAGTCTCCTATAAAGCAGGTCATTCGATGGTCAAGAGTGGACGCCACATAACACATGAGTCTGTGCAGTGCCTTGTCACAGTCGGCAGACCACTTAGTGACCCGGCTAGCTAAACCCTGGACAGCACGTAATAAGTCATAACGAGCCATCCTTGCTGCGAACAGCAACTTCATGAGCACACGACTCGCAATAGGAGCAAGCTTGCCTTTGGGTTCAGCCTCCGCGTCAGTGGGGCGAGCGATTTTGTCATCATAGAAGGGCGTTGATACCTTTTTAAGGTTATGCCACTCGGGACCAGTGAGTTCTTTGTAGCGGTCGATGGCCTGCTGCAAGAAGGAACTCATGTCATAGACGACTTGTCTGGTCTTAGCATACATACAACCCTGATGATCACTCAACTGATTGACATCATAGAAAGCGTGTTTGCGGGCTGCTTTCTTGGCATTAAGTTTGTCTCTAATCTTTTTCACGGCTGCCATTGCGGAACGCTCGGTGTGACCGTTGGCGGCAAGATAAGTAGCACCTGTCCATAAGTGATCACGTTTGTGCTTAGCACCCCCCGTGTCCCAGAGCTCGTCTGGCGCGGCCTCAGAACCTAGAGGGCGCATCAATGTGAGTCTGTGCGGACTAAGGTCAAGTGCGACGGCTTCCGCCGCGCGAGGCTTGAACAACGCCTTGCGGGGCTGAACGTGATGTCGGACAACCATCCCTTCTTCAGGGTAGTATTCGGTGAAATCTTCTTTGGCTGCGGCAGTGGCAGGTTTGGCAGCGGGATCAGGAAGGGATTTGTCGAAGACATGCGCAAAAGGATGATCGGCTTTTCCAAGCGATGAAGACTGAGATAAGTGTTCACATCCCAGATATCTTCCGATGGGAGTAGGTGTATCCATATCGATGCGAGAGCCGATGAGTTCCCAACCCTTGGCTAGGTTCTCTTTTGGCCCGGCCATCTTGAAATCATCTACATACACGGCTAATAAAAGCTTCAATGTGGGATGATAAAAGACAGATGGCCATGCAGCGGGAAACACGAGCTCAAAACCAACCTCCCGCAAGCGCTTTTCGCAATGTTGCTCCCAGAAGCCCCCGCTGTCTGGGTGCCCGTAAAGAGCCAATCTGAGGCGGACGACGGGGTCCCTAAACTTGCCGACCCACTCCTTAGGCCAACGCTCACGTGGGAGCCTGACCCAAGTGTCAGCGCCTTTCAGAGTCGTTTGCGTGTACGCCTGTTTACCATCCCCCTGTTCCACATCGTGGCCGGGGGCATGGCCATAGGCGTCGAGAACCTTACCCGCTTCCATGGTGGCGGGACTAGAGCCCAGCTCACTAAAGAGAGCGGTGTCATTGTTCTCGTCCTTCACATTGTTGCCCTGAAAGACGGTCCTACCCTTGAACTTCCGTAAGGGATTCCCTTTAGGAAGCTCACTGCCCTTTTCCACGCAGATTTCAAAGATTTTGCCAACGTGGGCCTTCTTTCCTCTTTTGGCTGCCTCTTTAGAGACTTCTTCCCATTCACGAACAGATGACATGTCCCAGGCTTTCTTCTTCATCAACTTTTCCCATTCAACGTCAAGAGAAGCTTGGGCCTGAGGATCAGCTAACAGCTCTTTTCTTCCTACTGGCCTGGCAACCATAGCCATAGCTTCCTGAACTTGCTCGGCAGTAAGAGCGCGGGAAACAGGGATCTTGTCCCTATGTTGATGATTGGACATGGGAACCGTAGGCATACATGGGAAATCTTTAACAGCTTCTTCCGAAGTGTGGGGTTTGGTAAGGATGTCGAACTCAGTACGACCAACCCATTTGAAGCTGAGCTTCTTGTTGCGCTTGCGTACATGACGCCATTCATCACAATCGGCTATGATGTCCTTACCTCCAATTGGCATGATTTTGGTCAATCTCTCTTTACCAAGAGCGGAGATAGGAACAGGACAATCAGTGAGATGAGGGGAGAACAGTTCACGTCTCGGAGAGTAGTGAAAGCGGATGAGCTTATCCCCCCGAATTGTCCATTCATCTTTAACCGGATTAGCTACTGCAGATGGCCTGGCGCTGCTACTTGACGAGGGAGTTTCTCGGGCCTCGAGATCTCTCAAAGCTTGCTCTCGAGCCTCATCATCAATGGCCTTCTCCTTTTGTGCTTTAGAGAGACGGACCCATAGATCGCTCGGAATGCTGTCCGGCTTTCTAGAACCTCTAGTCCCCCCGTAGCGACGACCTAGTGTACCCCCCGAATCATAGTACCTCCCACCTTCCGGCAGAGGAATCTCCTTGCCGGTTTTGGGGTGAAGAACTTTAGGGGGCTCAACCTTCCGGTCGGCGTCAGAAGCTTCAGCGGCCTGTTCAGCTGAGGGCTCAGCGTCCTGATTGTGGAGTGACTCCGTCGCTGGTCGCTCGAGGGCATCGGCAGCGAGACCTTGTTGCACACGTTCGTACCTCTGTTTCATGGGAAAAGTGAAATCACCTTCAGGCACCTTGAACTGGTATGCTCTTATGGGCTTGATGCATTCATGGAAGTCCTGTCGATTTAACTCTTTCAGTGAAAGAACCAATACCTCGTGCTTCCATTTCATGCCCGGCTGAAAATGATATCCCACGAAAACACCTGGTTCAGCAGTTGGCTCGAACCTTTCACGATTCTTGCGCTTTTTCTTGGGTCCAACCCAATAGTCGATTCTGCAACCAAAGGGAATGACCTTTCCCGGGAACTGGCTCCCGAAACGCTTGAACCACGGTGTAAACTTCGCCCCATGGGGGTTACTTATATTCACAGCGGTACACGCATGCTCGAGAGCCTGTGGCCAGTACACATGCGAGAGCCCGGCCTGAAGCAAATTGCTTCTAGTACCCTCGGTGGTGGCGCGCACTGCGCGTTCTGCGATCGCGTTGGATTGATGAATATACGCTTTGGATTGTTCATGTCTCCAACCTAAGAACTTGGCGGCAGAGATGAGTTCTTTAGCTTGATCGCTGTAGAATACCCCTACCTCGTCAGAGGAGGAAACGAAATGTTGCAATGCTGCAATGCACTCATCCTCTGACCTCAGTGCTGAAGGGTAGGCATACGTAAAAGAAGTCGCAACATCCTTCAGTACGAGGGCCAATCTGGATTCTTCTATAACCGTATCCCTATCACGGTACACAATGATGTGATCCGCAGTGATATGGTCTCCAAACGCCTTAGCTTCGACGCTGTGCCAGCCATCCGTTTGGTACGAAGGCGGCTTGTACATCTTAGCTCTTTGGCAAACATCACAGAATGGATTTTTGGGAAGGTGCGTCATGAGATGCGCCGCTGACTTGGCTTCTTTCTTCAAATTCTCAATGCGCCTCGACCTCTTGCCTTCCCCACCACTACCCTCACCAGGATCCCCATCTGGAGCATGCCTCTCTCCTTCCGGAGGAGGAGGGAGGACGCTCGGCTCACCTGAATCGGGTTTCGGCGACCTGATCAGTTCAGTTTTATCAAGGAACTCTTCATTCGGAGATGAAGGGATGGGGGCAACAGCTTCTTTCAATAACCCCTCGACTTTTGACCAATCTGGTTCATCCGAAGGTGGTTCGGCTTTGGAGGCTTCTTTGGCAATCTTCTTCTTGTCTGAGGGTTCCTCAGGCTTTTTTTTCAACTTCACTTTAGGCTTGCTTTTCGGTTCTGGGGCCGGAGCTGGAGGATCCATAGTAGCTAACTCGTAAAGAGTCATCTCCTCATCGATTTCCGCAGGCACTGCTGGAGGGAAGTTCTTCTGTTTCGGCAGCAAGAACCCCAGTGACTTAAGCTTCTCTAGCTGATGCGAATCCAGCCTGTGCACAGCGCGATTGACGTATCCCGTGATGCTCCAACGCTCGCCCTTCCAGGGAGTGACGCAATGGAAAGTCTTTGGATCGAAGGAAATGATCTTCGACTTCGACCTGTGCAAACGACCTCCCAGTTTGGCACCAGTGGGGGCGATCTTGTTGATGCAACCTGGCTCATCCTTCCGGATGGTGTCATCGTGAATCCACAATTCGCCTCCGGTGAAATCGCCGACTGCAATGGTGTAGTTGAGGTGTTCACGGTGATTGTTGACATCCTTGTGCATTTTAACGCCTGAGTTCTGATTGACAGCAATCGATGTTATTGGGCCATCCGCTCCATGATGTTTAAGATAGGACAGAAGGTACTTAATCACCTTGGGGTAGGAATGAGTGCGATTGGTTATCCCTTGCATCCCCCCATGTGAAAAAGCCCCGAAAATCATGTACTTCGAGTCCTTACTGTCCTTCGGTTTGATGGCTTTCCTGTTGAACCTAGATTGCTTAAAGTTTGAGTCCTTCAGCAATCGCAAGCATGCCTGATGGGAGAAATCCTGCTCCTGGATAAGTTGCGCGGCAATCTGTTCAGGGTTGGTGATGGTCTCAACAGCATCATCCGTATCGATCCGAGTAGACTCGTGTCTTGAATGGGCAGGACAAGCGATACCCTCCTTCCAAGACTTCAAGTACGGAACGTTATCCTTCACATCAAGGAAAACCTTGTCACCTCCCGGACTCCTGAAATAGGGTCTCTGAAATCCTTTCCAAATGAAGTCGTAACCCAGATCCATGCATCTCTGTCCTACTGAAAGAACATTGGGAGTGTCGGGGAGAACATAAGGCTTGGCTATGCTGTTGAGGGATGGTATCCCTACATCACATTGCGTGCCTGCGTAACTCGGTCCATTCGCAGTGCAAATGTTGATTGGGCAGTCCGATTCGTACGGATGCAGATTCACAAGCTCCCGCTCTGAGATGAGATCCTGAGCACTCCCTGTGTCACCAATCCATTCGATGGGTGGCGATTCTGATGATAGTTGAACCTTAGCGGGACAAGACACTCTCAACCCTTTTGGAATGCAATAGTTGCAACCAAACTCCGTATCGCAACAGTAATTGCAACGGCTTGGTTTGTCCTCCAGACTGTCTTTGACCGTAGCTCTCAACATGCGAGCGGCCATAAGTGCATCTCTGGTGGATTGATTGTCTGGCTTGGGAGTGTAGTCAACAGACCACTTCTTGTCATACCTGCGCTGAGGATTCTCAACAGGGAACTTAAGCTCTCCATCTCTGAGTGGGAAGTTGATGTACATTGGGCTGTTGTCAAAAGACACTGCTGGTAGCGCCAAACGCATGTCAGTGGAACACTGAGGGGGCCAGTACGACTCATCCTTCCGGAGAGTAAAAGCGTCGGCTTGGGAAGCCGTGCCGGCCATCATTGCTCCTAGAAGGCAAACTGCTGCAGGGAGAGAAGGTCCGCCACTCCTCCTTCGAGCTGAGCCCTTCGAGTTCCCGGAGCCATGTGATCCTTTCGAACCCTTGCTTCCCTTAGAACCCTTGGAGCTAGCCCTGGAGCCCTTGCGTTCCTTCTTCTTCTTCTTGTCCTTGCCCTTGTCAGGGCGCGCAGATCCCTTCTGACTTCCGTCGGGTGTAGCAGCGGCACCTGGCTTTCCGGTGTGCATGAATTTGCAATTCTCTCCACGGTCGCAACGACCTTGTTTGTAGAACTTGCACACTCGAGGCTTTCCTGACGGGGAGTTGGGTCTTGAAGGACTTCTCCCTCGGCCTCCGCCGGGTGACTGCGATCTGCCACGTCCGCTGGGCGTCTGGTGCTTGTATTTACAACTGCCACCATTCTTGCAACTGCCGTTCTTGACAAAAGAGATGCAAAACCCTTTGGGTACTTTCTTGGGTGCAGGCGCAGTAGGAACAGCAGGAGCTCCAGTTTGCTTGGCAATCCGCTCCCGGTTCCTCTCGAGCCTTTTTCGATTCAAGTGGCTATTGGCGGCGTCGTAGAGAAATTTAAACGATCTTTCACTGGAGCCTTCGGCAGCCCTTTCATAGATGGCAATATCGTGCTGAAGTGCTTTGCATTTCTTTACCTGCCTATGAAAGAGCGGTTCGAGAACCTTGTCTTCAGGGGTGGTCTGAATGCCTGAAAGCACCGTATCCCAGTTCCTAACGAACATCACAAGGTTTTCGTTTACCAATGTCACTGAAAGGAGGTCTTCCATGTCATACACGGAATTGTGTAGGATGTTTGTAGTGCTGATGAAGGAGAAAAAGGATTTGTCTACCCCTCACTAGCCTCCCGGCGTGAGCCTCCCTCTCCTTGAGGGTGTCCATTTGGCGCGCGAAGTCACCTTCAAGGACATTTGTCACTGCCGACAAGACCTTGGCATCGAGAGTAGAGAAGCCACCTGTGTCCCTTAACTCTTCTTCCTTAGAGTCCTTGTCCCATACCTTCGAAAGCCATTCAAAAGCTTCATCCGGCTTATTGGACGCTGCAACTACAGCTTCACGAACCCTAATTCGCCAGTTCCTGTACTGTTCAGGTGTCGGGAACTTGGGGAACAGGATCTTCTCGGCCTCCTTGGATTTGGTCTTGTTTACATCCTCATCAACTTCCTCCTTCTCGTTAGTCTTTCCTTTGGCAAGTTGCTTGATGATTGCCTTGAGCTGCTTGGGCGAGAGATCAGAAGAGGAACTGGAATCCCTCTTCTTGTTTTTCTTGTCTTTCTTCTTGCTCTTTTTCTTCTTATGACTGCTGCTCGAGTCATCATCATCGCTGCCGTCATCATCTCCATCAGGGCCTCCCCCGTCAGGGTGGCGTCGGGGCCTTGACCCTTTGGCGTCCTGAGGCGGAGTATTGATGGGATAGGTAGGGATCAGACCCGGTGGCGCAGATGGGGCGGACCCCGTTGCGCTTGCATGAGCCTGCAGAGCCGCGATGGCCTGGTTTAGCTGCGATTTCAGTTCAGCATTCTCCTTTTCAGCCATCTTTCTCTTCTCTGACTCGTGACTCATCATCACCCTGAAATCCCTAACTTCAGCAGTCAAGCGTGAAATCTCAACCTCAGATGTCGCCTGAACTGCATGTGTTGCCTGAGCAGCGGCGACACGGGCACTGTCCATTTCAGCATTGAGGAGATCCGCGTTGCTGACGGCCTTAGCTTCCGTTTGGTGAAGTTGATCACGCAACCTAGCGTAGGTAGCGTCAGCGTGGCTCTCAGCAGCGCTTAGTCTTTGGGCCAAAGCTTGAGCTTCACCTCGTGCCACGTTGATCTCATTGGCCTGCGAGTCAAGCTGCGACTGACCTGTTGCCAATCTCTGTCTGGCCTGTGTCTCCTCACTACCTAATCTGGTTTCGGCCTGAGCAAGTTCAACTCTGAGTTGTGACACTCCCGACATGACATTCATACCCATTGCTTGGAGTTGCTCCTGAAAATTGTTTGCGATCTGACCAATGATCTGATTGTGGCGATGTTCAGCTATTTGCTCGAGTAACGGCGACCTGTCGTTCTGAACAAACACATTGCTAATGTTTGCTTGATTCTGCAGGATTCGCTGATCGCCGATTGTCAAACTGTTCATAGTCGAGGAGGTCGGTGGGAAAAGACTCTGGGCTGACGGACTAATATCTTGGGATGAGCTTCCTCCGGCTGCTATCGGAAGGCTGGCCGGTGGTTGTCTAGCACTAGGGGACACAACCTGCCAAGGCGCGGACGCAGTCTGACGGCTCGAGGCACCGGTGGTGACACCGGCCTCGGAAACTGCACCCTTCTGAAAGAGCCTATGGTCATGTAGCCTTAGTGCGGTTGTGGTCAACGGGAGCTCACCCTCCCGGGGAGCGGCGTCCTCACCTGGAGCATTACCATCAAAGGACATGCTCAGGTTGCTCGCTCCGTCGTCCGGGACTGGTATGCCTGCAGGACCTAGCGGAGCTTGGTCCGTCATCACAGAGTGGTCAAACTAGCGTGGTACTACGGCTGATAACCTATTGTTACCAGCAGACAGCCCCAATATTTAGGGAAACGTGCACACGCCTTTTTCTTGAGCCGTGAGCGAACAACGGTAAGTAATGAAATGTCTTTCTGTAACAACAATTCGAAGCATGCGTGCACACTTCCGGGCTTCCTGGCGTTCGAATGGCAGAGCATCCATGTCCACACGATGATATCGTCCATGAACCAGCGCATTCATGTCTGCACGATGATAACGTCCGTTTTACCAGATCATCCATGTCCGCACGATTATAACGTCCGTGTTACCAGAGCATCCATGTCCGCACCATGACAACGTCCGTGTTACCAGAGCATCCATGTCCGCACGATGATAATGTCCGTGTTACCAGACATGTCCGCACGATGATAACGTCCGTGTTACCAGAGCATCCATGTCTGCACGATGATAACGTCCATGTTACCAGAGCATCCATACGCTGCAGCATGGGGATTTTTGAAGCTTCTTGTCAACAGACGTGCAAACCGTGCTGCTCGCGTCAAGCTTGGGTGCAGGACAGCATCCTCCTTCATTAAGCGCAGGGTGCGTCACTGGGTTTTCCGGCAGTCCGTCACAGGGGATAGCCCCCAGTGTCTGCTCAAAGCAGTACTTGGAGTGCTCAAGGTGCAGACTGCGTGAGGAAATCAGTGCTTCTTCCCTTCAGCCCAACTTGCATGTTTAGGGTTTAGGGTTTGGGGTTTACGGTTTAGGGTTTCGGGTTTAGGATTTAGGCTTGGGGTACCCATGCCACATCCTGCCTCTCTCCTTCCCAGAAGGGGCCAAGCGACAAGCAGAGAATAAAACATCCCGAAACGTCACTGCCAGAGCCATGAAACAGGCAATCAAAGCATCTCCCCTGAACCTTAAACGTCACTGCCAGGGCCATGAGACAAGCAAACAAAGCATCTCTCCTTTAACCCTCAACTTCACTGCCCGGAACATGAGACAAGCAAGCAAAGCAGCTCCCCTTAACCTAAACTTCACTGCCAGGCCCATGAGACAAGCAAGCAAAGCATCTCCCCTTAACCCTGAACTTCACTGCCAGGGCCATGAGACACCCTTAACTCTAAACTTCACTGCCAAAGCCAAGAGACAAGCCGTTCATACCAAATCCTGCCTTTCTCCTTGCCAACAGTACTGGTCCTAAAAATGGCCTTTTCTGCTTTTTGAGACGAAACCACGAATCCATTGTAAATACCATGCAATTCGAGTCTTGACACGTGCAGTCAGACCAGGCGCCTGGGGGCGCGCTAGCCTAGTAGTAGTAGTAGTAGTAGTAGTAGTAGTAGTAGTAGTAGGAGTAGGAGTAATAGTAGTAGTAGTAGTAGTAGTAGTAGTAGTAGTAGTAGTAGTAGTAGTAGTAGTAGTAGTAGTAGTAGTAGTAGTAGTAGTAGTAGTAGTAGTAGTAGTAGTAGTAGTAGTAGTAGTAGTAGTAGTAGTAGTAGTAGTAGTAGTAGTAGTAGTAGTAGTAGTAGTAGTAGTAGTAGTAGTAGTAGTAGTAGTAGTAGTAGTAGTAGTAGTAGTAGTAGTAGTAGTAGTAGTAGTAGTAGTAGTAGTAGTAGTAGTAGTAGTAGTAGTACGCGCTGGGCGCGACGGTGTGTTGGTTGCACAGGAAGTTACGAAAACCATGCATTTCACAGTGTTTTCAGCTTGTGGCAGGTGCTTGGCAGAGTTCCCTTTACCTTGTCTTTCTGAGCCGGAAGACACTGAGCGGATTTGAGTGCTGGGCTCAAGCGGACATGGATGCTCTGGTAACACGGGCGTTATCATCGTGCGCACATGGATGCTCTGGTAACACGGACGTTATCATCGTGCGGACATGGACGCTCTGGCCGCTCGCACGCAACGAAGCCACGAAGTGTCGTAAATACCAATGTTTTAGTTTAGCATCCCCAAACCCAAACTCGCAAGGTGTACTTCGAAAGTACATTGAACAACAAGAAAAAGGCAAGGAGGACTGGAGCATGGAATATGCGCGAAACCTAGGTTTTAACAGTAGAAAGGCTGACTACTACTACTACTACTACTACTACTACTACTACTACTACTACTACTACTACTACTACTACTACTACTACTACTACTACTACTACTACTACTACTACTACTACAGCAGTCGTCGTTTTTCACTCATCGTCAGCCTTAAGCAAAAGCTGCTGTCCTTGATGCTTCATACTTCCACCATAAGCCTGTTCAACCCGAACTTGCATCTGTGCTTTTAGCTTCTGCGCTGAAACTTGCCATGCTCCGTCGAGCACAAACTCTGAGGCCGATCTTGCGGGTGCTGCACATTCTCCATGGACGACACATCGTGTCATGGCCACACAACAGGATACAACAGGCAGGTCCATCATCAAATTGCCTTCAAAGGTGTCGAGCCTCTCCTGCAAACGCTTACTAGTAGCACGTTTGGCCGCTGGCTGGTTGCCGCATGCTGCCGCTCTAATCCAAATCATTCAGTGAAAGAAGGTTTCCAGATCTTGTCAGAAGCCTTGGTTGCAGCCCATGGCACACATGCTCGCACAAAAAACACAAAAGGCAAAACATGCATGAACAGTTACAAAAAACTGTTTATGCCTTACATTCGCTCCCGATATCATGCTCTTTATATATATATATATTTATTTATATTTATATGTATGTATATATATATATGCTATATGCGTGTCATCTCTGGTGGTGGCTTGGTTGAGGATGAGACTGGGGCGAATAAGCCGATGAAAGCTGCAAGAAGTTTTCCGATCTCTAACGGCGAGCTGCAATCAGGGACAAGAGAACCCTCTTCGCCTTCACGACAAGCTTGAGAAAGCCGGTCTTATTCTACGTCTGAATCGAAAAGCCGCCCTACTCATCCTTGCTCCTCTTCACAAAGAAACTACAAGCTCTTCTGAGTGGTGTCAAAAACACTGAAGCGAAAATCCGCAGGCCCTCTTCTCCAATTTCATGCTTGTGTTTGGCACCAACCTATGCCCACTGAGTTAAAAGCCACCACCAGTGGATGGACAGCGCTCGAAAATGCAGAAAAAGTGGAGCGCCAGCACTTTTCAACTTCACGGATTTATGAGTGATCCATGAAATTTAAGGTCGTGAGGCAGCCGGCCGCTCACCGCCAGAACGGTTCTAAGTCTAAGTCGCTGCGCCAGTTGCCATGAAGGTCACAAGGAGCTGTCGTACGACATCGTACGACAGCGTCATTGTCCAGAAGCTCCTTGAGCCGGAGGGGGCAGCGGATGGCCGTGCGCTCCGCCAGAGCCGCCTGTTCTGGCCCACGAGCCCAGACAACGGTTCCCGAAGTGGGCCAAAGCAGCCCTGCAAGCCTGTTGCCACGGAGCAATGGGCTTCTATGAGGAGAGACCGCGAGCAGTGAGGGCACCCGAGATCGCAGCCATTCCACAAGCATGTCAAGACTTTCAACCGAAGTCAGTACAGGACCACCGGAGGAAGCCTATCACTTATCACATCACAGAAGATTCACATAGCCGACATAAGCATATGACATGTAAAGAGGGCGAACAGAGCTAAGTGAGGAAAAAGGAAGTGACGGCGGCTCACGGCCCTCATTGCCATTCAGGGTATCCATGCGCAGTCAAGAGTCAAGCCTCGTGGGGGGGTGGGGGGGTTTCCAGATCGACGGAACGAAAAACCAACGTGCGGCTATCTGCCAAGGTCGGCATCTTCCGGTGGCATCTTTCGCTGAACATTCAGTGAGGTTTGACAGCAATGCACGAGATGAGAATACGCGGGGGGGGGGGGGGGGGGCAACTTCCTAACATCACGTTATAATCACACTTGTGGATGGCATCAACAGCCTTGGTCCGCGGCAGAATCTCTGCACCATCTGTCCTGTAAGCAGCTTCCAAGAGCGACCTTGCAAAGAGCACTCAAAGAGCCCCGTTTTCAAATTTTTCAATCATTTCCAAGATGGAACATCCAGAGCCCTAGCCCTAGCCGCACGACCTGTACGCTCACGGAGCTAGTTTTCAACCACAAGGTCAAAGTGGTGGGAAGTGCTACAAGAGGTGTGCATGGACCAATGAGCCATGGATCCTGATGATTACGTGACTTCGTGGATATTGATGCCTGGTTTCTGAAAATGAGCAGGCTTGACAAAACATGGCCGGCACATGAAGGATCATGAAGGCATGCTCTCGTCAGAGTGCCCCAGCGAACGGCACATGGAGCCAGAGGGCGTGCGAGGGCAACCTAAACGGGTTAAGTTTTCACGTTGGAGCCGGAACGGATGGCATGGCAAAGAACTTGGCAATGCGCAGCACTGGCAGGAAGGGCAACGATCAAGTATGCGAACTGATATTGAAGAGCACAATTGCAACAATAAAAAAGAGAGTTCCTGCCGGCTAGGACTGCCTGACTGCCATTACATTACCGGAAGTTGTTGTTGCTCGGAATGGTCTGAACATGCCGCCGACATAGGCGCTGACCCATCCACAAAGATTACTTTCCAGCTTGGGAGTGAAGTTTCCACAGCTGCCTCGGCGCTACCGTGCTTTGCGCTTCGCACTTCAGCGTGACAACATCTGACAAACGATCTGACGATTGGATCTCCTATATTCTCGTCACTCTTTGTACTCGCGCCAAACTCAGCACAAGACCATGAGGCTTTTGATCTCGACACCGCAGCGCGGTACCTACAGCTCATGAACAGGGCATGAAAACCATGTAAGGGTGTGAGCTATCGAGCCATGGCAGGTTCCAACCACCACATATCGTCGAGCTGTGGTCCCTAATGCTGCCATGAGTAGCGTACCCAGGTCAGCAAGCAAGTTGCCCAAGCCTCAGGCATCTGCACATCGCATGCTTTTCCCGGACAGAGTCACGCATGCCACAACTCAGGCAAGCGATAGACAGGGACTCTGCCGCGCCAACGCTGTGGACAATGCCCAGGATTTGGCGGAAATGCCTTGTATCATGTGTTAGCTGGCAACCTACCATGTGATAGCTTCAGGACGGTCCAGCAATTGCAAAATTCCTGAGAGAATTGAGGACGTTGCTCAGTGCCTGGTTTCACACCTGCAAAGGCTGCAAAGGCACATGCTCTGTGAGAGCTACGTTTCATACGTTTCCATCCATGCCAGGACGGCCAGCCAGAATGTCACACCCCAGGACCACATCAAAGGACCCAAGACCTCACAAATATCCCAGGATTGAACAATCATTTTCTCAGTACTTCGTTAGGCAAGGCATTGGACATACAGTGCTGAACATTTAAAGCGGCAAGGCTCGTTGCATGATGGCCTCCGGGTGCTGAGCCTGAGCTGGAACTCATTTTTTTTAGTACATTGGCTGGTCTTTTGCTGTCTTTTGCATGTTTGTGCGCCTCTCTCAGCCTTCATTGTGCAGTTGTAAGCGCTGTGCCCAGTCCAACTCCTGAACATCGATGGAACCCCTTGCGGCGTCAACGACTTCCCTGTTCCGACCTCGGACAGTGCTGCGAAACTCACGTCCATTACAATTTCACTCCTGTTAGTGTTAGCGACTGTTCGTGCAGCCTTACACCACTGGCACGGCCACTATCCTCGAGGTCAGAGGATGGCACGAACCTCCCGTTGCAGCAAGTCCAATGGCGACTGCTCCTTGTGGCATCAGCGTGCAAAGCCGCGACAGTGTGGTTCGTTTGGAGGCCCAGTCTGTCGCCACGACGTGCCCTCCCAGCGAAGCAGCAACGATGGATGGTAAACCTTGCATTGACCCTGAAACATTCGCATTGTTTAAATTGCACCAGCATTGCACACTGAAGTGACGGCTGCACAGAGGCAAATGTGATGCACAGATCTGCACAGGGCTCTGCCCAATCCAGCGCCAATTTCCAGAACACGCTGCCCACACACGCGCCATGGCCTAAAGACAGGCTCAAACTGGCTGGGTAGCAAGATCTGGCTTGCGGCAAGCCGAACATATCACTGAAAGGCACACAGAAGGCACTCGCTCGCTGAGCAAACTTGGCAAAAAGGCTGAGAGCGCAGAAATGATGCAAGAAGTAGCGAGCCATCCCACAGCGTGTTGCTGTACCTGCTTGGGCCGCTTGCAAGATCTTGCAAGGTCCCAACTTCAGCGAACGATCCAAAAGTTGCCCTGCGCACACAGAATACGGTAGGCTCGCAACATCGGCTCCCTCCAGCCTGACATTCTACTCCTTGCTGGGTCAGCCTATTTCCAGTCACCAGTGGATGCCCTGAGGACACCGCGGCAAATCGTCGGAGGATGAGCGAAGCCTTTCGTGATGGCAGGGGGAGAGCGTAGGCGTTTCCAAATCCAAACTTCTAAGCTTCTGGCTCCTCACAGATGTCGACATGACCATTTCGCAACAAGAAGCGCTTTGTCTCCCCCACTCGGTCATTGTCTTCTAGTGTGTTCAAAACCTGAGTTGTGGCAATCCCAACATTGCCTATGATGGTCACGATGTCTGTGGCTCGTGACGAGCAAAAGCCTAGGACGATGGCCAGCACCTTGTTGGAAGACTCTTGGACAGACTCCTTGGAATCTCCGAAAGACACGCTTCTGCCATGACATGTTTGCTTAAGATGCTGTGCTCCCAAGCATGAAGTCCGGCAAAGGTCGTGTCATGCCTTTTCTGACAGGGCTGGCAAAAAAAGCTGGCAACAGAACCCAACAGGCAAGTCGCTGGATGCACGGTCAGCTGCGTAGTGGCTTCCGACATCCGGACTGCCCTCTGCCACTAGTAAACGTTCAGCATACGCTCAGTTGTGTATGCCTCATGCTGTTGAAGTGCTGTTACAACAGCACCTTGCCGTGCGCGACACACACACACACACACACACCTACCTTGTTTGAGGCTGAACTTGGCCCTTTGCGTGAGTCGTTGCGCCTAGCTAGGCCCGGCAGAGGGCCGACGAGAACTGAGGCCATCGTTGCATGTCGAATCCTATCTTAACCAGGCCTGGAACAGAGCGGCAGCAAGGTACAGTGATACCAGTGATGCCATGTCTTGCGGCAAACTTCAAGCCCATGGCTAGCCATGGTGTGGACATGATGAGCGACGACAACCCATAACAAATGAGGCAGGCGACTGTTTTGACTACGAAGTCACAGATCCTCCTCATCTACCTTCCGTTCCTTTCTGGCTGGGGCCTGAGCTGAAAAAGAATGGCAAGACGAACACATGGTCACTTCCCTGAATTCGGGTCCCTTTTGGGGTTCCTGTTATGAGACGGCCTATTATTCAGGGTACAACAAGGGACCATGATTTTGAGAACGGACCATGTGTGGTATGTATGATATGTGGGTGTCTGTGCCCGATTACTTGCAGCTCCTGTTGCAACACTCTCTCAGCTCCGGCCTTCTCCTCGTTCACATTCTTGTCCTCACACTGTATGCTGAGATGTCGGTGCTGTAGCATGATACTGCGCTTTCAGCTTAACAAGCAAAGGTGCCACTTGTTGCGTAACGTCTGTTCCTGCAGTTGTTGCTTTCATTATATATATATATATATATCTATATATGTCTTTCGTTGACGCTTTATGGTTCCTTTTTGTCTGTTCTGTTCGCTCGTTCGTTCGTTCGTTCTTTGTCTTTTTTCCTTTCTCTGTGTTCTTTCTATTGCTATTTCTTTATGTTTGCATATTTACTTCGTTCAGTTCTCTTTCGTTGCGCGTTTCCTTCATTCTTTTCTTTCGGCCTGTCTTGCGTTCGTTGGTTCTTTTCTTTCTTGCTTAATCTGATTTCATCATCCTGTCTTCGTAGGAAAACCTCTCTTTCCCAGTAGGAAATACCCAACCCAACAAAAGGACCAAAGCGCGAAGCAAAAAGGGCCAGCGTAATGAGGGTACCTATTGGTTAACCCCTCCCCCCCAACACGGCAGAGGATCTGTTCTTCCTGATCTAGGACATTCTACGACCGACAGGCAAGATTGTTTGAGGCATTTTCAACCCTTTCTTGGTTTTGCTCGAGGCATCCCGGATGCCACATCGATTAAGTGCGAGAGTAAACTGGCTTCTCAGCTCGGAATGACGGAGCCTTGTGCTTGACAGCTTTCTCCTTCGGCCCACGCTTCTCCTTCAAAATTTCATGAACTGCAATGGACTCCGGAACTGCATGCGATAAACGCGCGGGCTGCGAGATACACATGTTGCCGTATGCATTCTATCGAAAGCTTCCTTTGACTTCTGTCTTGAACTCGGCACATCCGGAGCCTTCTCTGCAGGTCTGGCCTGTCTGGGCAGCGCACGAGCAAGGCAACGCTAATTAATATTCGCTTATATGCCCTTGTATGCACGAACTTGAATATGCGCCAATATGCTCTGGATACAAAAGTGATACAAAGCAACATGCTCTCTCTTGGGGCCTTTCGTTTCTGCTTCTCCCTCTCACGATCGTGTTCCTGACGACGGCTACCCCATGCTGCCCGCAATTGACTGCTGTAGCTAAGGCTAACTTCGGCAAGTCTGATGTAAGGCGAAGGGCCTCCTTGCGATCCTTCTTGCTCTTCTTCTCGTGCTTGTCTTTGAGCTTGTGCATCATCATTGCAGGGTCCACTATCATGGCCATGGGGTGATAGTGCTGCGAAGGCCTATGACCAGCATGCTGTTGCAGCGTGAAGGTGAACATGTGGCAGGACTACATCGCAAGGCACAAGCAGGGACCCATGCATGATCTCCGGCGGCATGAGTGGCACCGTCATGATGGTCGGATGTCCCATCCTGACATCTGCGGGCACTATAACAACATTGGGCCATTGGGGCCAAACGGCACCAGGCTTCCAACAACTCCCTCCACTTTCCTTCCACACTGCCTCTCGTTTGCCCTCCCTCTCTAAGGTTGCGTCATCAGCGGGTCCATGAAATGAGGAATTCCCATTGGAACTGGGCGCGATGGTCCCATGCTTGTTGCACGGGCCTGTTTTCAAAGAGGGTGGCACAGTAACCATGACAAACCTTGTGACAAAACGGATGTAAACTTCTGCCCAGGTGCTGGCCATGCGCCCCTTGGTTCTTTGACCCAGGAAGTAAACACAGCAGGAAATGACACTGACACGATGATGCGAGGCCGACGCCGAGACTGGCTGTCGCCTGCATGTCTCTGATTGCATGCCATTCCAAGCAATTCCAGGTGTACCAATTGGTGTACCCATTGTGTACCATCCCGGTCTCCGAGCAGCTCCTGGCATCTCCTGGCCTTCATCTCGCGCTGGACGAAGTCGACCCCGTCGAAAATCAGCAGCTGCCTGACACAGCTCAGGGTTTTGCACAGCCCACTTGCTGCGAAATGAAGATTCCGAGATGAAGCTGCAGGATCTCGCGCTTTTTTTTCACCTGATTAGAAAGCAGTTGTCACCGTGAAATCCTTGCCGTCTCCTAGATATCGGCGCTTGAATTCGACCTGCTTTGCTAAGCACCGCTCCTGGAGCTTTGACTCTCCAGCTTCGTCCAGCGGCTGCAGTGTAAACTCTGTGGAATCCTTTGCTCCCAAAGTTCTTAAAAAGAAGTACGTCTGTGCATACTTCACAGCTTTTACGGACATGTCGTAACAAACGCACTTCAGAAAGATGCGCTCGAAGGTGTTGATCTCGTTCAGACTGTAAAGGTCGAACTTTTGGGCAAAGTCCAAATTCTCGTAGGACTCATCATACCATACTTTCGATGCAAGCATCATTGCAGTGATTGTCAACCTCTGCCAGTTGTCTGGTGTCAGCGACATGCCACTCATCTCGCAGAACCGATCCAAATACACCAAAGTGACTACACTCACCTCTGGATGAACCTCCAGGGCATTGATGACCAACTCCAGGAAATCATAGATGTCCCATTTGTTGGGGATCCGTCGAACTGCAATTGAGTTGAAAGGGCTGGGCTTGTTTAAGTCCGGGACCTCTGCAGATGCTTTTGACATCAATGGCGAGCACATCGAAGACAAAGGCGTGCCGAAGCTGCCGAAGTCATCGTTGTTGAAGGCGTCGCCGCCATCTCCTCGCGAGTCTCGTGGCCGCGCCTGCTTTTCTAACATCTCCTTGCAGACAGGCTCCAAGAAGATGGCACAAGCAGCAAGACACTCTGCTGATGAAGTGTGCGGTCGAGACTTTCCAACAGACAGGATGACTTTGTTCTGCAAGGCTGTTGCTAAACACCTTATCAGGTTGTCCACCTCGGTGTTGGATGGGATCTCCATGGACTTTGCGAATTTGGCCCGTTGAGCTCTTGTGGCTTGTGTGAAGGGGCTCGATGTCTGCTCTGGCAGCTGAAACCCTTCGAGAGGTAGAGTAAGGGAATCCGAGTCACTAAAGGCTCTTGGCCTGCCCTCATTGCCCTCATTGCCCTCATGCTCTCTCGCCAGACGTGGAGAATGTGGAGAGTCAGAGTCGATCCTCCAGTCTGTCTCGCCTTTGTCGCTTTTGCGGCCTTGGAAATCCGATTGGAACATCCCATTCAGTGTCTCCGGCCCAGCAGCCTGTGCAAACGCATGCAGCTGGCTAGTCAGAAAATCTACCTGTTCTGTTTGTGTTTGGACCAACTCCTCCAGCTCCAACACTCTGTCACGCTGCCTTTGCAGCTCTGCTCCTTGTTCACGGACGACCTCAAGCAGGCGGCGATTCTCTTGCTGCCACTTTTTGCTTTCGTTTTCGGCCTCTACCTTCTCACGCGTAAGCTCTGAGTTCTGTGAGCAAAGGCGCTGCAAGGCCGCGTCGTCTTCCAGCATCTGTTCCTCCCGACGATCTGCTCCGTGCGCCGCATGTCGGAGACATTCAATTGCTCGAAGGAGGCGCAGTTTATGACCCGGATAGATTCGAAGCGATTCCAAGAAGTCCAAAACCTCTGTCTCGGAAAGTCTTCCAATTGTCTCTAGATCATGGAATCCTGCTGCTACGAAAGCACGGGCATATTGGTTTAGACCATAGACCCTCAGGTATGCAAATGTAGGGGTTCTGTTGACTTCACTCCCTCCGCGGGCACTCGACACTCGTCCAGCACTGGGTCCGCTCGAAGCTGCTCGGGCAGGCTTGGCGCTTACACTTACACCTGCAGCTCCCAAGGGACCCCTTGCTGGCCGTCGGCCGATTGCCGTCTGGACATCGCGAGCATCTCGGGCATTGCTCACACTGTACACAGCTTCTGGCGAGGGGCGGCCTCGTGCACAGCTAGCCAAGCTGTTCGCATCTCTTGCGTCTCTAGCTTCGGGCGACACCTGCGACGGCTGTGACTCAGCAATTCGAGATGGCGGCCGGGGCGCAGAGACAAGCTTTCGCTGTACACCACTTCGTGGTGGGCCTGGCGCACCATTGCGTTGGCTTGGCGGCCGAGCATTCATAATGCTGGAGTTGTACCAGAAGACAGCTCGAGCCACGTGCATTGAATGTACGATAAAAGTGTTCAGAATGATTGCGCCAATGCGACTCGCTGCGAGAACGATCTGCTACCTTGAGTGCGGAAACGGAAGCGGAGCCTCTCCAGGCTTCAATAGCTCGCTTTGGGAGTGTGCAGCTGGGCATAAGCTGCCTTGCCATTCGCAGCTTTACAACAAAGAGTTCTATCATCCGCACATTTCCATGCGTGGTCTGCCATCAAAAGCATCAACAAACACATGCACACAGACACAGACACAGACACAGACACAGACAAACACAAACACACACGCACACACACGCACGCACACACACACACACAACACTCGGATGTGCTTCGCTACAAACGTTCAGTCCTTTCTGGCATCTACCCTCCAAGAAGGCGCTGCATAGACGTGTCCTCTGCTTGCGTTTTAACACCCGATGCAGACACTTGCAGCGCTCGAAGTATTCTCAGCATCCGAGGCCCAATCTTGTGGTCCCGCGAAGGTGGTAACTTAGATAAGGGCCCACATGAGCTTGCAGCGAATCCAACTCGACTCATGGAATCTGTGTCGGGCGGTCTCGGCTGGACCCGCTTCCGCAAGAATTCATCGTGCAATCTGAGAACGGGGCATCTGATATCTGCTCGATGTCGGAGGTGCTCGAATTGCTGCTGTCGAGCTGCGCTGCTACAAGGGCAACCTGGCGAGCGTCGTATTGTCTTTTAAGTAACTGCCCGAGCACTGAGCGCACATTCCACGCCACCTGTGGTGTTTGCCTTTTAGGCTCTTTGGACTCCACTTCGGTTACATCTGCCCTTCCCTTCTTCTCCTTCTTGGCTTTCTTGTCTTTGCCGTCCGTGCCCTTCTTCTCCTTTTTCTTCTCCTTCTTCTCCTTCTTCTCCTTCTTCTCCTTCCTGAGTTCCTTGGGTTCCTCAGGTTCTTTGGGTTCCTTGGGAGCGTTCTCAGGCCGAGCTTCAGACAGCGCCCTGGCTGACTCCTGCTCCTCTGCCTTCTCTGGCTTCTGATCTGCAACCTCTGCCACTTGTGACATAGCCTGCGTGCATGTGCATGTGCATGTGCATGTGCATGTGCATGTGCATGTGCATGTGCATGTGCATGTGCATGTGCATGTGTGGGTGTGTGTGTGTGTGTGACAGTACATGTGGCACAGAATAAGAATATGAGAGCGGAAGTTGTTCTGAGAGGCTCTACAATACGATATAGTACAGTACTCGCCTGCCAAATCAGCATGTCAACCTTGCCATGCAACCCATGCTGTAAGCTGAGCTGTCCACGAACTGTGACGAGCCAGCCAAGGTCAGGGTATGCCGGTGTATGTGGTATTTGGGCATTGATTTTGCGGCCGGTGTCCGTTGTTCTGGTCGCGCGGGATTGTCTTTACAGTAGATAGAATGCAGCTCGGTTCTGGGGAGAAGTGCGGCCTCACTTTAGCCAAAACTTTCGCTACCTGGCAAACGATGTACTGTAGCAGGTGCCTACAATTGATATCTGATATATATATATATATATATGCTAACCGACAATGCGAACAGCAATTTTATCATGGCTTTCTTGGATGACAAGAACAAAGCGCAGGAGACAAATCATGACAAATCTACCAGATTGTCCAGTCTCACGGGCTCACAGAATCCCGCGCGTGCCTCAACAGTCTTGACGGTCGCCATCTGCTGAGTTTCCGGAGTTGGCTCCGGCCGGGCTTCGCTGCCAGTGCTCCTTGAGAGCATTGGACTCGCGATGTCCACGTTATCTGCGTTGCCTCTCTCTCCGGGCATCTTCTCATCTGCAGGCGACGACTCTTCCACTTCTCTTAACTTCAAGACACAGGAATCGTTGAGATCATTGCCTCAGGGTCATACGACTTGTCATCGGAAGCAGTGTGTTTTGATGTGATTTGGGCTGCGCTGTCCGCATGCCATGCCGGCCTCCGGGAGCTGTTGCCGGTGGCCTCGAAGGTCCAGACAAAGAAAACGACGTGGACTCCTGACAGTGCTTCTCACATCTTCTCACTTATCCTTGCCTTGCCCATGCAGGGCCCCCGCGTCTCACTTATTCATGATCGTTACGCATTTACGGCAGAGAATGGCAGGCAGCTGCTCGCTCTGCAATGTCAACGGCATGTACCGAAATCTTTGAACTGCTATGCGCGCGCGCGCCCCCGTGAGCCCGCGCGCAAAGCAACATGCGAGATCTTGGCATGATTGTCAGCCAAGATGACATATTGAACACGCAGCGACTCAAAATTAATGAGGAGAGGCAGTGTCAATGCATGAAACACCGACACTGCAGATGTGAACACCAGCCATGCCCTACATGTATGGGCGATCACAGCTATGGCATGCAATGCCAGCTGCATCACGGTATGACTACGCGTCCGTTGTGATAGCAACACAGCCCCTACATGCCTAGATATACACTGCACAAACCTGCACAAGAGCAGGCACCATTTGCGGCAGCGATTTGGGCAGACACTGCTCCCGTTGGCCATGGCCTGTGTCTCGGTGTTGGCAAGAGAATGAAGTGCAGTGTCCTGAGAGCCAAGAAAGCGAAGCCCCTTGGCAGCGCCCTCAGCTTCAATCTCAGTACTCGATCAATCCAACCTGGTCGGACAACTCATCGGCTGCATCTGCGTGGTCCTCCTATCGATCAAAACGCAAGTTGCTAAGTTTCTACCTATCATGCGTCGTGAATGCCAGTATGCATCAGGAAAGTGCTGTCCTCACCCTCCATCTTATATAGCAAGGCTTGTGCCCACTCCTTCGCGCAATACAAACATGCGATGCAAACATGCGCCGGCAGTTTCAGCATACGCAGACATGGGCGCATGGGCGCATGAACATGCTTGCAAGCATTGAACCTTGCCGGTGGTTTGGCACAAGTTCGCCTCAACAAACTCCACCAGAACCTCCAATGCAGGAACATGACAACACCTTGCAACACTTGGTGTTCGAAGCTTTCCATGCAGCTGTGGTGCATCCTTGGATTGGAAGCTTGTTTGCTGCTTATGTCGCACAAGCAGCGGCAGCGTTCCCGACCGACCGACACACACGCGCACACACACACACACCGAAACAACAAACACACAGACTGACTGACAGACATTGACAGACTGACTGACACAGAACTACGCGGAAGTCCTAGCCTAATGCATCTCATTGCTCCCCGCATGGGCAGCTTCGTATCTTCTTGCCACCTTTGAACTCCGCCTGCTCCTTCGTATACTGTGAATTGGAACCTTGCAAAGGCTCCAGCAAATCCTTGAGGCTGACAGTGCAGGGCTCGCCCTCAGGCCCAGAACCCAAGTCGAAGGAGCGTCCTTGTGACAGCTGAGGCTCCAAGAGGCTAGCGACGCAAATTGCGGCCACGTCCTCTCGGGGTACCAGGCTATGGTTCTGTCCATCGTCCATCAGTGAGTCATCCGTGCCAGCATAGAGCCGTCGGCGGCCACCCGGGGCTGGATTCCGATCCCCGAAGTGTGGCAGCAAACCTCCAGGGTGAATTATAGTGTAAGGTAAGCCGCTGGCTACGAGGTAGCATTCGGCCTTCCTTTTCCAAAGTACGATATTGTCCATCTGAGAATTGAGGAAGTGATCTGGCTTTGTCCCTGCCATTGAAGACACAAGGACGACATGTTTCAGCCCAGCCGCTTTTGAAGCATCAATCTGGTTACGTTGACCCATCCAATCGACCATCTCTGGCGATTGGCCGTCATCGAAATAGAAAGAAGGCTTCTTCGACACAAAGCCTAGTGTGAAGACCTTCGTCAGGATCACCCCAACCAGCGATGACTTCAGCAGCCGCGGCATGGCGCTTGTCACAATCACCAATGCGTCCATGTCCACGAATGCTGGCCCCAACGTCTCCGGTTTCATAATATCTGCCAGGATAATATTGACCGCAGCTTTGGCTCCAAGCTGTTCGGCCAGCTTGTTCTTGCTCACCTCGCTCCGAACTACGGCGGTCGTGTTGATGCCATTTTCCAACAGCTTTTGCACTACCAAGCTTCCTGTCTGTCCGCCTGCCCCAGTCACAACCACGCGCATCGGCACAGATCAGTCGTGAGTGGAGGGGGGGATAAGGGCGGCCTCCTAGTTCAAACTCTTGAGCTAAAATAGCTAAAGTGGCCACTGGTGCGGCATTGGCCTTGGACTGCTTTGCGATGTTCTCTGTATTATAACATTCCTGGTACATGAGCATGTGATTCTAGGCGCTTCAGCTTCCAGCAGCCGCAGAAGTGCAAACCCCGGACCCCGGTGTTACCTGGCTTCGAGCATTAGGTGAACACGATTTTTATGTACTATCGAACCATCACTAAACGATTACGATCGTAATTAGGGTAGTTCTGGTTGCTTCATGCACTCCACAGCTACTCCGTGCACACGGCATACGGCTGCGCTGCCTCTTTGGGTGGCTTCTGCAGAGACAAGATTGGCGAAATTTCCTTCTTCTCGCACAGCCTCGGGCAAGCGCACCGGCGGTGCACTGAGCAAAAGCTGTGACACAAGCTGAAATATGTGCCTATACTTGCTTACATAAGCTGCACGCTCTTCCCAGGACTTTTTCCATCCTTCATCGGCTGCCTTCAGACCACGCCGCACCTGTGGCACTCATTTTTCAGCGAAGGCTGTGACTAAACGTTTGACATGCGAGATCCGAAAGAAATTGGTCGGTCTCGAGGAAGGAGCGTTCTCATGGCCATGATAAGGGCCCTGGCTCCATTGTAAACGACAGTGCGCGGAGTAGTGGTAGTCGATCATTTGCACACCCACACACAAATTGACAAAGCATGGCGAAGTGTCCACGCATAGTACAGATGTGGGCGCTGCTGGACCATGCAAGCATAGACTTGTCAGCTGCCAAAACTTGCGCAGCGAGCCGAGGCCAACGAAAGCTAACCCAAGTGCGTGGCACGGTCCTAAACCCTAATCTTCTAGACTCTCAGACCCTAAATAAACCCTTCCACCCCGAAACCTCTAAATCCCTAAGCCCCTAAACCCCGCAACGCCTAAGCCCCCAAATCCCTATATTTTTCTCACGATCAACCCCATGCTCGGCGCCTCGCAAGCAAGGATATTTAGGACACCACCACCAATGTCTAACAGAATCACGAACGTTGTGCAGTGCTTGTCGCTGGCACCAACGATTCTCTGAAGTGCGATTCGAACCCTAGGGTGCGACGGGAGTCTTCATTCAAGAGCCAACACAGATAAGGGCGAGCGACAACAGCAACCAACAGCAATCTCTGCGCTCATCCCTTTCTTCTCTTTCTTCTTGTCTCTTATAGTCTTCTCTTCTCGCAAACTGGAAGATGGAAGAAACAACCCAACGCAGGAGGAGGGTTGAGAAGTGGTAAGTACGATGTTGTATTCCTCATCCCCCTTCCTCTTTTCTTGCGAAACGTCTTTTCAGGCAATTGAAAGAGGAGAGGGGGAGAGACAAAAGGGCTGATAATTCGTTCTGTTGCTGCCCAACACAAACGTATTGAGACCCTGAGCGGGGCTTTCTTTCGTTGGGGAAACAACATGAACAGCACATGTCCGATAGCATAATCCCTTTCCAGAAAGTTGAGGGTTCCTTCTCGGCTTGAAGTCTGCCTTTTATCAATGAACCAACGAGCAGAGAAAGAGCGTTAGAGGGAGAGGGAGAGGGAAAGAGGGAAAGAAGAACGAAAGAAAAAGATACAGAGCGAGAGCGAGAGCGGCAAAGAGATACCGAAGCACTTAGCTCAAAAAGCTTAGCCAATCGAAGTAAGGAAGCTGGCGAGGCCGGGCAAGACACTTCAGACCGGGCAATAGCCAGAGATCTGTTAATTAAACTTTGACCACAGAAGACAAAAAAACACAACCACCAGCGTCCAACCCACAAACCCCTAAACCCCTCACTCCTTATCGCAAACTTAATTGCCGAAACCGTTTAACCCCTAAACCCCTGCATGCCCAGACGCCCAAAACCCCTAACCTTTTTTTGAACCCGTGCTGAGGCCGAGGCTAATTAAACCCTGAACCCCTGAACCCTTTTTCCGCTTCAACGCCACAGCCAGTCCTCCCACTTCTCCAGTTCACAGTGGAACAAGTTGATCTCTCCTCCGATTCCTCTCACTCCATTCTTCCCCTCTCCTAGATCCAGAGCCGAAGCTCCATCTAAGCCCGCTTGTGCCACATGCATTGTTGCATTCAGCCAGGTGTCAACGTTCTTCCACATGGGGCCCTTTAGGCCCGTGTCATTGGAACCCGCAGGAGCGCAGGACCAGCCACCAGTGGACCACGAGACCAGGGGACTGGAACCCCCCCCCCTTCCCCAGACAAGGGGAGTGGAAAACAAATGCGCCATCTGCTACCTCCAGCAGACCCCTGCTTTTGCACCCACAATTCTTCCAAACCCCTTTCCAAAGAACTTCCGGTGGTCATAGGTGCGATTTACAAATCGCAGCTAGTACCGGATTGATGATTGGAGACCAATACTAAACTTCCCCAAACCCGAACAAGCACTGGCCGAGTCAAGCTGGAGCGGCTGAGAGCTAGGCAAGTTGCTGAAGAAAGTTGACGTCAGACCAATCGATGGACCTTTCATTTAGAAGTAAAGCAATCTTCGGCTGCGCATTCGTGCCATCACTTGCGCATCACTTCGCATATTGGCACGCTATGCCGCCAGTCTTGCCTGCGCATGAGTTTTGGAGCATCGCGGCTCTCCTTGTGCTGAAACTACACTGCCAGAGGACGAGCAAAATGGAAACGCTTGGTATTGGGCAGGTGCCTTCTTGGATTCCTGTGCAACACGCAAGCCAGTACTTCTGCTTCTTGTGGCAGCCTCAAAGCCTGAAGCAGGTCAGAGTGAGGGACAATACAAGTTCCCTGGACTTCGGCAGCCTAAGGCTTGGGGCACGCCATCGCCACTCGCAGTGGCAGAACTCAGCATACCTCCCGTACTTACTATGAGCAAATCTCACTTCTTGCATCATCTATCATCATCTGGAATATCTCGAATATGTTTGGCATTGTTTGAGCTTCGACGTTGGGCTCGGCCTGTCACTGCTGTCGTGGAAGCCTTCTGCTTGGCAATGCTGCTCCCGAAGGACAACACCTGCCACTCCGAGAAACACAATTCACGAGGATAAGGATCGCACAAGGCTCGGTGGCGCACTGTCCGTTGCGAGGGCAGGCTGGAGTTGGGATCTCCAACCTTGAAGGCCAGGAACTCGTCTCCAGTGACATTGTGCATGCTGCATCTGGGCATGCTGCGCTCCACCCGCCAATCTGTGGCGCTCTTGAATCTTCTGCTGCTCCAATGCTCTCGAGCTTGGATGTCTGTTTGCCGGACATCATCGTGGCTGGCGCTAGTTGCGAATCACCGCACCCAGAAGGCCCGGAAGACTGGGCAATTTGTCGTGATTTGGCCAACCAGCTGCTTGACACGGATATTCGCCTTGCACAGACCGCTGACTGTAAGAGATCCGCGAGGCTGAGCGATCCAATTGCAGTGTAAGCTGCAGGCGCAAGCGGGGCATCCGCAACGTCAACGTCTAGCATGTCCAGATGTTGGCACACGCGCAGCAGATTCGCTGGTTGCATGGTGTGGGCCTAGCACATCACCCACAATATGGAAATGTGTGGCAGAAATGCTCTGGCACTACGAATAATTACACTAAGTGAGGCAGCGACTGGGCAATGCAAATAGCTCCATCGCCCAAGAGTACCAAATGGAGACTTCTCAGCCACAAACGCGGCAAACCTAAGAACACTCTTGACCTTCTCCATCTTTCTCCTAAAGCTCCTTGTAGCTCCACAGCTGTGGATTCGCAGCTTGGGCTCTGGCTCGCGTGCTAAAGGACAACCAACCATGGGCCAGGCAGACAGCTTGAGCGAAGGAGCCGCAGCACCTGGCTCCATAAGCTACAGACAGACATGAATTACCGTATACAGTACACAATTTCATCACAGCTCTTGGAAGAACGCCGTGGAGTTGCAGACGCTCATGCGCCCAAATACCGCAATCTTCTCGGCATGCTGCTGCAGAATTCTCACAACAGTTTCCCATGCCTGCATCTTGAGTGTGGGAAGTGCTGGCATGCCTGACAGGGGTCGCTGCCGGTGAATCCCACCACAAGAGTTCTTAAGACCACGCTGCCTAGAAATGGCAGATGCCAGGCGATCCTGCAGCTCCTGCATGAAGCATACCACTGCGAGACAGCCGAGCAAAGCCTTGAGGGGGGACTTAAAAAAACAATATCGGTGCCTCCGTCTACATGTTCCCAGAGCTGCCAGCAGGCGGCAGCAGCAAAACGGGCATTTCCGCATAAAAAATCATGTCAACTGCACCTTGCGTTCCCCACCCCCACCCAGCCCAGAATCGAACACAACTGACTACCCGTTCAGACTACGAGACTTCCAATCAACAGCATCATGAGTGTGCACAGCATGGGCAGTTTGGGAACCTTGCAAGCATTGGGCGTTCCGAACAAAATTAGGAGATATGCAAGTTGTTCGTTTGAAATGCCGCTGTTTCTATGGAGGATTCAATAAAGTGTTGGAGTTTTAGCTATCGTTGACTGCGGTTTCATCAAAGTCGCTACAGTCGGCCTTCTCAATGCGGCCATGCTACTTCTGGTGCAGGGCCTCCCAATGCCCTCCACAGATCTGGGCGGTGAACTTGGTGGGTTAAGGATGTCTCAAGTTTCAAGAAGGAGAACCTCCAAATTGATCAGAACGATGCGGAATCATCGCATAGATTCATCTCACCTCCACCATAATTTTGGGTCTCTCAAGTTGCATGGCCTCATTTGGAGCGGGGGTGGGGAGTGGGGGCAAGTTGCGCCGGCAGGGCAAACGCGGCAAGCGGCGGGCAGCGTAAAGAACTGTCCCCTCTCCGGCCACAAATATTTGAAAATGGCCGTGCGGGCAGTCGACGCTTTCCAGAACACTGAAAGTATCCCATCCAATCGCATGCAGATGTTGAGGCCGAAGCCGATCCTCCTTGAACTGCTGCGTGACAGTGTCTGCAGCTAGCTGCCACAACTTGCCATACCCTTCTAGCCGGGCATCCAGCCAGGGCCGCAGCACCTCAAGCACGCGTTAAAACAACCCGCAGCTTGCAAAACCTGCACAAACAGCTCAAATATTCGTTGGGCCAAGCTACGTTCGTGCCGCCAACTGTAAAGAAGGACCCTGGGCTCACAAGTCCCCACAAGAGGCAACACGGAGCTGCAAATTCTGCCGCCAATTCAAAGCCCTGTGCCGGCCACTCGCTCTGCCAGAAGCCGAAGATGCGACGGAGTTTCTCGGAATTGTGGCCTTGACGGGTCCTCATCACAGGCTACTGAAACAAACAACAAAAAGAACGAAAGGATTGGTCGCTTGCATCCTCTCCGCCCTGCCTTGACTGTCGAAATTGCGCCACCCAGAGCAACGAGGAAGTGAGTCCGTGCTTCCAGGTTTGAGCAGTGCCTGGCAAGTGCTGGTGGCTTTAAACCCTCCCGAACCCTAAAATCCTACGCCCTTTATTGACCGTCGACTGTCAGCGAAAGCCGACTCTGAGAGTTAATGTTAGACCCGCTTTAGTAGGGGCCTCCCCTTTAAAGTCAATTTGGCCAAATTATTCAGGACCCCCTGACTGTTTGCGGGGTCTCCTTTAAGTCAAACCGTCCGGGCGCCGTAAGAAAATTCCACGTGGCGCGCCTTTAAAAAGGATAACCGGGCATCGCTGCCCCTTTTAAACCTATCTAAACTCCTCCCTATTGAAATCATATAAGCCCCCGGGGCCATGTAATCAGGCTCCCATCCACGCCTCAACTGTTCAGGGGAGGGGGGGGGGGGGGCCCAACACACTAAAGAGGGTCCAACATTCCGAAGCCCTCTTGCATCCGGACTCATGGCTGCTGGGGTCTTGCTTCACACGCTCAGATCCGAAGCCCCAAAAACCTAAACCCTTGAAAATCTCTCAACATACATTCTCACGATTTTGTAACTCGAAACCTGGTCCCTAATCCCGAACTCCACCCTAAATTCTAGATTTTAGACAATTTTAGACACAGGAACCAAAGACAAGAGGAAGAGGAAGAAGTAGAAGAAGGAAGAAGGACAACCCGGACAAATCTTCGGACAATGCCAGGACAGCCCTGCGAATCCCGACCCCCCAGCTCCACCCCGGACGGATCCCCCCTTGGACAAACCCAAGACGAACGCCCGAACAACCACAAAAACCCTGACAAACGCGTCCTGAACTTCACAAGGACAACCGCAACATGCAAACCCCGCTTGACTTGGGCTGCGCCGACGTTTCTGCCTCCCAACCCCCGACCGCATGTCTGTCATCGTTGCATCCGTGCGCGGGTCCCGATGTTCGGGCGCTGTGGGCCTGTCCGGGCTGTCCACTGCCAGCCGCAGACTAGGATCGCGCTCAGACCTGGCTTCAGTCCCTCGCACGTTCTTCGTGCATTTCATTTGGCTTCGAAATCGAGCTCCCGTCACCGGTCCCATGCGCATGCAATCGCATGGTATTCAAGACTTCACACCTGCCGCTCCCGCGAGTGACATGCGAGACGTGCCGTCGCGATCCGTCGTGTGGACTTACTACGGGTAGCAATGGGGACAATACGGAAAAGGAGTTATTTGTTGCAAACGCAGCTAAACAAGTTCGAGCAAAATAGAGCCTCAAGGTAACAAGAAAGACCATAATGATAGCAGGCGTCTTATTTGGCAGGCCTGAAGTACAGCAGCTGCGGAGCATCATCTGCCTCCTCCGGCAATGTGGGAAGCATTGGGAAGTAGAATTTTTCCGATCTACGACGTTCTCGCTTTCTTGTGACCGGAGGGGGGGGCGCCCGAAGCAGCTGCTCCAGTTGCTCCGCGTGCGCCTCGACATGCCCAAGCTTGTCCCAGCAACTGCCCTTCACTAACAACATCTAACAACATCTAACACTTAGCACACAGAAACATCTGACAAAGCATCTGGCTGATGGCCGCTCAGCCACAGCCTCGGTACTACCGTATGCGCACAAACATCACAAGACCCTGTCGGGACCTTCAGGAGCGAACTCTGAGGTAGCCGTTCAAGCCGCTGGTTAATTCCGAAAGCCTGTGGGCAACATCCAGGCCTTACATCGCGGTGATCGGCTTCAAGATTGCATGGTTTTCTGAACTTCGGCTGTTGCTAGGATCCTGGACGAAAAGGCCCGGTCGCGTCTATGACTCGCTTCTGCCTCCAATGCCATGAACCGACCACGTGTATCGAACAAATGACATCAGCTGATTCAGATGACCAAGAGATCGGCTGACCTAAGCTGTTGCGAGGTCTCTCCACCAGTGTCCACCCGTCTCTGCACCGCATGGAGCATCCGCCTGAGGATCCCGACTTTCCTGAAACTTGACGAGGTGTCGACCGAGCCGATGCCACATGGAACGGTCCATACATGGGCCTGACGTTGGACGATCAGTAACAAACACAGCAGGCAGCCCATACGAGCCAATGCTCGGAGACCACCACGGCCTGACCCCCACTCGAGGGCTTCCATCTCCTCAACCATGGGCACATATGGCACTGTGGTAACTGCCGTTCGAATCCGCCCTAAGATCTAAGATCTGTTAACCGAAGTGGCCTGCACGATCTTCTCAAGGTCAGGAAGACTCCAGAAACGCTCCTCTGATCAGTGACACTCGCTCTGGCTGTGCACATGTGTCAACGGGACTGCTAGATGTTCAGTCGTTGAACCATGCGACAGACAACGGTGTTGTCATTGTGCATGTTTCGACCAAACAAGAGCCTTGACCGAAGAGCCAACCGGCGTTCTGCATGGTTCTGCAATGAGTATGTCACTCCATGCACAACCTCCGCACGCTTGGCCGAAAAAACCGAGGTGCGAGATGCAGAGATTCGGTATGCCGGTAACATTCCCTGTTCCTGCGACCGTGGCTGCCTAGGAGAGGTTACGAGCAACATACAAACACCATGTGATTTGCGCCCGCGTCACCGCGTCACCTCTGCCTATTGTGATCCCTTGGGCGTTTGCATGATTGTAAGCAATTCGGTGGCCTCGGTATTGATGTGTTCATGCTGCATCTCATGGAGCCAGGAGACTCACGACATGTCATTTGCCGCCCACAAAATGCCACACATGGTTCAGCACATAGAGCCGGTCGGGCCGGTCGGGCCGGTCGGACCTTTTCAGCACTTGCGGCCTCGAGGCTTCAGATAATTGCTGTCCTGATCCAAATGCTGCAGGAGCTGCTGCAGCCCTTAGCATTCCAGGCATTTGTACAAGCCAGCCCTGCTGTGTGTACGACAACGGATTCAATCGACAAGGCCACGACGAATCTCAGCTTCCATACCTATGTACACTCTAGCTATTCTAGTTCGATGCTTTGTACATGTCCCATGCGTGGACAGACAACAGCTGATCCAACACAGCTGCGTTCCAGACAGAGATCCAGCATCCCCTCGACTGCTTGAATAATTCTACCTCCGACAGAACTCAGACATGGACCCTGAGCCGTGGATAACCGTGGACCGTGGATCCCTACAATCTCTTACAAGCGCAAGGTGTACGAACTGCGTAAGAGTGATGCAGTCGAAAAAATGGAAAAGTGCGGGGAAGCGCTGTTCAATTGGTCAAACGATATCATATGCATCTGTACTCATTAAACTGTCCCATTGCCTACTAGTAACCAGTACCCATGCTCAGCCGGCAGATTATCGGGTGGGATGTGTGCACTGTGATGAAGGGACTGTGGAGCGGTGTGACTGCAAATGTAATCTGATCTGTGGCGATGAATGCCGATTCAAAGAGTTCGCCACAACTCTCTTGCTCCAATCAATACCTGAAAGTATGTTCGTTCATCGACTGCAACCGAGCACTTGCCTTTCCTCAGCCAGATGCCATTGGTGACTCACGAGTTCAAATCATGCTAAGCCGCCAGCTTGGATGGATTGTGTGCGCACAGAAGGGATTGCTAACGGAACCAGGCAGAGGACACCAGAAACACCAAAATGTCACAAGCTTCATGAACTTCAACAAACGTGTTCCACATCGCAACTAATGCCTCGCCGATTCGCGAAGCATGAGCCGCATCCCATTCGCACCCTCGATATATTTCAATATACAACGGCATCTTTGTAGTATTGCTATATCGGCATTCATGCAACATTGAAGGCAAGGGAAACACATGTCATGTTTGGCAGCAATCATCAGGGCATAACATAACATGACATAGCAGGACAGTGCATGATTTGTTCCATCCCATGAGCTTGACCGGTCTCTTTTCAGATTCTAAGGCTACACAGACCAAACGTTGAAAATGCTGCAAGTTGCGGTGATTTGCTGTGCCTATCACGTCTATGAAAGATCCTCGTTTTAGGAATTCACAATTTGTCTAAGCCTAAGCCAGCCTCGTTCAACTTCACTGCAGTATTTGCAGCAAGTCCGAGATATGTGAAACCTCTCGTGGACAGAGCAGACACTCGCCGCGCAGCGGTCCGAATTTAGAACCAGCCTGCTGACAACACAAAAACACGTGCATCCCAAAAGCGTCCTGGATGTGGTCATGAACGTGTGGTATGCCAGCCCCTGCCTGGGTCTCAGCCTCAGTTCGAGGCGAATGGACCATGTCGGCTGCATCACATGCATGTGACGGCAATGTGACGGCAACGTGGCTGCATGCGCGCAGTGCTGCATAATTTGAGCCCACATGCCCTGGCCTGACCCGGCCATGTGCCCCAAGCTGCCCGTTCCACCATCATCTCCACTGGCAGCTGGTGGGCTTAACCTCCCGTCCAGTGTGTTGAAAATTGAGAACATGTCAGAAATTGCCCTGAGCGCGCTGCAGTGTGACAATTTTGCCATCAGAAAGGCCACGACGTCGCAGCAAATCCTTGTGTCACACTTGTCACACTTGTCACAAGTCTACTCCAGGCTCGTAACGGCTCGTAACGACTCATACAACCGCAGAGTGGAGAAGATGAGGTGGGAACAAATGCCGTCAACCCGGATAGGTCATTCAATGAAGGATCGGCACGGGAACGAACAAGCCTCGAGGCAACATCAGCTCGTGGCTTCTGACGAGACACGATGCTCATCTCGAACACTCTCGAAATCTCTCGAAGCAAGCCGGGAGAGCAATTGCACCAAATATTCGTCACCACGTTCGCAGGCTGCATGTAGTGCAGTGGCACCAGCGTTTGCAGCTCCGTTGACACCGACGCCATGAGTCAGCCTCGCTTGCCGCTAAAGCAACTGCCATAGAACCGGCCACTGATGCCCCTCTCTGCCATCTTGGCGAGCCCTCAACGCGGCATATGTGAGTGAATCTGCCCGCTCTTTCTGATCTGTGTTCTTTGCTCAGTCACCCGAGCAGTCCAGCATCTTCATGCATGTCATGCTGATTCACGCTGTCAACTCATCCGTTCGGGAATCGTTGCAGCACTTGCGCGATGCAAGTTGCCTCCCTTTGCACGCCAAGGGTGTGTTTCTGCTTGATTCGTTTGAAGGTCAAGCGTTCTGTTCCAGAATGGTGGCTGCGATTGCCAGGAAACTCAGCTAAAGGACATGAATGCAATCTGCTAGGGATTCCGCTCGATCCTCCCCCCCTCCCCACTCTTTTTGTTTCTTTCCACTGTCTGATGGTCGTATGGATTGTGGGCCCACGTTCGTCCCCAAAGTGCGAATGTGGGCCGGTGGACCAACATGCATGAACCACCCATCCGGTCCCAAAGCCAACATGTGGCCCGGAAGCGTTGACAACATCCAAGCATTGGTGGGCCAACATCTGCCAAACGCGGATGCTTGATTGATGGGTCGCCTTCCTCCCCGTCACCTCGCCTCCTAATTGCGGCGCGCGAAACTCCCTCAAGGGGCTCCGCGACTTGAGATGGTTTAACGACTTGACTTGACAGCTATTCCAACCATGTAGCAGAACCGTGCGGAATCTACGTTCAATTCACTGATGTTCCAGACCGTTCCGAGGACCGAGAGCGCAGCAAGGCTTCCACGACGGACTTCTTGGATGCCTTTACAGCATCGCGCAACCTGTTTGGCACGGGCTCTCTTCAGTGTAGCCAATTGTGACAAGTGCAATTGTTGGCGGTCCCACGGTGACCCAGCTGTAGCATTGACATCGATGCCATGTGCAAGGATGGCCATTACCACTTCCTGTGAAAAGGTTAAAAGCGGCAAACAAGTGCAACGCGCGGCAAACCGGACGTATGTCAATATACGTTTACCTGCCCGAGCTATTGCTGCAAATGGCATGCACTGGCAGGTCGAAGGGCCTCATTGCATCCACCAGCGGCTGCAGCGCCCAGAACTGACACGCCATCCTGTCCGAGGCTATGGCTGTGATCTCCTTTAACTGCTGCCAGAATGTTGCCGTTATGGCCTTGTCGCACCGGGACGCGTCTGCCCCATGCTGAAGAAGCAGCTTTACGACTCCTGAGAAGCTGCGAAGGCAGCACGACATTGCACGACAACGCACAACAATGCACGACATGCCACATGCCAAGAGCTGAGACAACGGCCAGGTCGGCTGGCACGAGCGGCCAGCCACAACGGACTCCGGTGGTCCTTCCACATAAGCACACAAGCTAATCACAAGCTTCTATGAGCTTCTGCATTGTGCAGTGCAGCGGCTCGAAACATGCTTGGTTTTGTGCCAGGCCCGCAGCTATTGGTTGCAGAATGACATATTTCGATTTCAGGAAGTGGCACACAGCATAACGAGCATGTGCAACTGCAGGGGACACGCACGACGACATGACAAACAGCAAAAGGCCTGGGGCCTGGCCGTGCGGATCCACCGGACCATGATGGATCCACTGCCACTGGGGCATGCTGGGGCCACCGGATACCACTGGGGTAAGTAGGGTGTTTCGAGTCGTTTCAAGATAGCTTGACGGAGGTGCAGTGAAAAGCATACAGCTGGCCCCTACTCAGGCCGAAAGGTATGTTGCCGCTCTTTGCAACCTGACCACGCTGTCTGTGACTCGCAGCCACGTAGCCCGTAACCCCCTTTGATATCCTATACTCTGGATTTGAATTCAAATGGTTGGTGCACGGTGCCACCTTTCGGAGCAAAGATGCCGTGTCCTTCAGGGAACCCGTCTGAGTATAAATCTCCTTGCAGCTCCATGTCCTTCTTCATCGGTTGCTTGCCCGTCCCTTCGTCGTTGCTCTGGCCACTCTGCATCGCTTTGATGTTCATCTGAGTCGTTGTGTGCGTTGCCCCTCTCGTCCCAAGCATGGATCGTCATTGCGTCGACTGCTCCCCTCTGTTTTCAAGCAGCAAATATTACGAATACTGTGCGCTTTTGAGGCGAGCAAAACAACATCCTCAAGATTCCCCCCTGCTTGTCAGCGACTCTTCTCCGCCTTCTTCGTATTGCGTCGCTCTGTCAGCCCAACAATCAATGCGCAAATGGCGCTTGCAGGACCTAAAGCCAAAGCATGGGAGACGATGCTAAGTCACATGGCGTGCAAGCTAAGCGACAGCACTGAATAAGCAAACCTTGGGTTTCAGAAAACAACAGGCTTAGCCGAGAGCTGACATCCAAAAGGGCAGACAAAACGTGCTGGACGGAAATGCGAAATGCATGGCACGCTCAGTATTGGGCCCGATTTGTTGATCGAAATCCAGGGTTCCTTCAACTTAATCAGGACCTAGGGGTCTGAGCAGTACATGTGAAGAAAAAATCATGGTGGCCTCAGGCTGGGGCCGATTTTTAACTCAAGCACCAGCACCCTCACAACCTGAGCCCTGAATCCCTCAACCTCCTCTCAGCTTCAAACCCTGAACCTCAAAACCCAACTTCCCAACACCTGTCCTTCTCAGTCGCAGTCCCGAACTCCAGTTCTCAACCCTCTTCAACCCTCAGCCCCAAGGCTTGTCTTTCCATGCTGCAGGCAGATTTCTTAAATGTGGTTCCTACCTCATCAAAAAACACATGATCACACGCCGCCGGGGGTGGGGGGGGGCACAGTGACAGGGCTAGATAAGAAAGCGGCTAAGTACAGGCCCTGGATTTCTTCAAGTTGAGGCACCCGTTTTTGCTCAGACATCTCGCCTCGCACCCGAGGGTACCCTGTTTCTTATAAATAAGAATCGAAGCAAGCCAAAACTAAGTTCAGACTCTCTGGGTATTGGATTTCTCAGCCAGTTTTGAGGCAATTGGGTTTTGGAGGATTTGGGCAAGGTTGGTAGGGAACACCTGCCTGCTCAAAGCGAAAATGAGAAAATGAGCCTGAATGTCCATTTGGTGGCGGTGGTCCGGTTCTTATATTTAAGAAGCAGAGCTTTTTTTCTTTTGGGTCTGAACATGGCTCCGGCAATACCGCCCAAAGCCTCCAGACTGCCCAGAAGCATTCCTAACATTTCCCAACCTTCCAATTCAAGGAGGCCCACTGGCAAATCAGGAAATCCCACCTTCAGCCGGCCCCGCCCCTCATTTAGCCCCACACTTATTTCAATTCGAACTTCCTGTCCTGTCCTTCCAACCTGAAAGGCTCAAGACTCTGCAGCTGATTCAGAGTTTGAGCAAGAACTGTCCGATTCGGCACTTGACAGCACTGATCAAATTCTCCGACGGACAAGCATGTGGGACCTTTCTGGCACTTCCTGCACTTGCTAGACCTCGCCAAGCTCGCTGCGGGTTCCAGGTTTCAGGTTTACGGGTCGGCTGCTGGCCGGCATCGTTTTCGTCGACCCGCTGGCTTTGCGTCTGCACCCCAACCGCGCGGACTGGAAACTTCGAGGTGGGCGCATCCTGTGGCTTCGGCCAGCCCGGCAGCCGAAGCGAGGTTTGAGTGCTTACAAATTATGCTCTACTTCCGAAGCGCCGCATGCAGCGCCCTTCCTCGTCCACTTCATCCGGCAATGCCCCGGCATCAAGCAACGCACGGGTCAACTCCACGAAGCCACTTTCAGCAGCAGCCCCCACAGGACTCAGAGAAGCGGGACATTTCAAACAGCACAAGGCAGCATACCAATGGAAACTGAGACTCCCCGCGTTCGCTGACCATATGCGTCCAGGTGACGATTATAGACCTACAGCTCATGCTTACACTTGCACTTTCGAGCCGAATGCCGCAATGTTTCGAAGATCTTCGAAGCGAACGGACCTTGGCGGGCTCACAATTGACCAGCTTCGAGCCGTTGCCAGCGCCACTTCCTATAGCAGCCTCGCAGACTCGCAAATCGCTTAGCCGCAGGAGACACCACGAGAACATACGAGAACCATCGACAATACGAGCAAGTAACAGCATGAAGCCCATGAAGCAAAAGTGCTCTTGCGTGGCTTTGTGAACCTAAACCTGTTCTTGTCAATGTCTTCGCAGTGGGTTTTCATCTAACTCTGAAGGTCATTTACTAGGCCTCTCTTTGACTTTCGAGATTCCCTCAGGGGTCTTTTACTAGGCCTCTTTGACTTTCGAGATTCCCTATTAAAACAACGAACATTACACAAAATCCGACGTGACCACCAATCTACCAGAGCCGCACACTAACCACACCACCGATACATTTGTTGTTGTCGCATACTCTAGGTGTAGCTTTATGTGTCTGCAGCTTTTCTTATGGCGTGTGAACGATTGACCGAGCCTTGAGGTAGGACCGTAGGAGCAGTATTGCTTAAAGTAGCGAGGTAGGAGGCTGACATTGACACGTCGGACCGGTAACAGCATGTCCTGTGCTACGTGTGTTCTTGCACGGTGTTCTGGCTACTCGGTCTGGACATGGCTGGACTGGGATGCCAGGAGCTGGGTTCCGGGAAGGCGTGGGCAACTTGTTGTGGAAGAGGCGGCATCCAGACAAGCAGCTTGAATCAACGCGTCGACCACATCAATCTTGCCCTCCACAGAAGCATAAAGCAGGGGCGTTGCCCCATGCTCGTTCCTGGCGCAAAACAACGTCTTTTGCTATGAACGCTTCTTGCGAGCATGATTATCCTGGCGAAAATGTTGGCCCCATGAGCGATGAGTTGGACAGCAGCCTGGCGACCAGATCCAGCTGGTGGAAACATGAGACTTATCAGGCAGGTATGCTGCGACATCTACCGTGTACGTGCCGAGTGGCCTCGGAATGGCCATACATGCACGCGGCCAGCAGTGGTGTATTGTCCCACATTCCAAGGACCTGTCCGCATAGTCTACATCGTGCTCTACGCTAAAGACGTTCTTCTTTGCACCCGATGCCTCCAAATTGCACTCTGGTGACTGCAGGAGTTCGTCTAACGACGTCAAATCATTCGCTTTAATTGCCTCCACGTGACCATGATATGCTCAATATGCTCATGGTGTAAGGAACTTTGCAGTGGATGCGCCGCCTTGATCAAAGTCAAAGGCTTTGCCTTGGGCTTTGCTTTAGGGCTTGCCACCTGGCTCAAGCTCAAGCACGCTCACCAGATCTCATCAGATTTTCGCAGATCCACGCCTCGCTTGAGTTCCCGTTGACGGGCGCTGGCCTGTCAGTTCCCCGGTTTTTTATGCCTCCAAGTACATTCGATGCTTCCGAGTTTGTCCTGCTTTCTGGCAAATGTACTGCTTCTTGAACCTGGCTGCTCGGGGCATACCCGAACTCGACAGAATGAAAAAAGCACATGGACATGACAAATCGAGCATCTGACCTCCACTGGTAAGCTCGACCCATGTGGCACTGCTGAACCCGCTGGTGGCAATGGTGACGTTTGAGGAGATGCAGGAGGAGGGCTCCTGTCAACCCTATGGCTTACTTGACGCTGTGCACTCTACATACTTCACGGGAGCCATTTGGAACTCAGTCGCGGGCCCGTGGCTTGAAGGAACCACGCCAGACGGATGCACCTAACCGCATTTCATTCGCCAGCGGACTAGCTGTGACTAGAAGGCCAATACTTGCCAATGAAACAGTCCAACCTTCGCCGCATGGCTGGAAGAGCAACCCATTCCAACGAAGCGCAAGGGCACTGCCTGGACCGAGTACGAGTTAACAAGCACAAGTAGCACAAGTCACAAGTCCAAACACGGTGACACGAGCAGCAGCGGGAAAGAGCACAGGCACAAGCAGCAGGACTGGAACACTGCCATTTGCATGTTCTGCACAACTTCTTGCGGCCCAAAGCACGAGACCTCTGAATGAGGCGGACGCGCAGGCAGGAATCTGGACTACTGAATAAAAACCACAGAGCTAACTCGTCCCTCGACATTTGCACAGAACCTGCATCGCAACGGAAAACGTAACAAGTAACGCTCATGTTACTTTAAGCAATGACAGAACACGTTCCTGGACTTTAGAGCCAAGCATCAAGAAACTTGGAAAAACAAAATCTGTACCAACAGCGAAGGGCCACCAACAGATGCCGCACACCGCGTGTGCGTGTGACCAGCTACCATGCCAATCGCTCAATCACTCAACCATGCTTGACAGCAGCACGCACTTCCTTTGTTTCAGTTGCTGCTGCTTCGTCGCGCTACAATGGCACTGCTAGTCCCGCACGTGCACGCTCGCACAACACGTTGACATGCAGAGTCCTGCCGTGATTGTCCACGTGTTGGCAGCTCAGGAGCGGCTGGAGCCTCTCTTGTCGAACCCGTGCCGTTGGCCTTCTCCACGATGCACGCCTCTTTGCCTCACAGAAGCAGAAAAACTACAAAAACTCAAAATGTATTACCTATATACAAACACATATGCTTCTATGCAGGTTGTCAAAGCATTGGCCGACTTGCCGGGTATCTCCAGCAGCAAGGCACTAGCAAGGCGACTAATGGAAGGATTGGCTGTCTTGTGAGCATTGCGGAACCATTGTGGAACTATTGTAGAACCAGTGTGGAACCATTGTGGAACTATGTCGTCGCTATATCGTCGCGGTGTCCACTATAAAGCTGTGGGGCGCCCGGCGGGCCCCAACTTGCGCCCCGCAGCCCTTGCCTGCAGCAAAGCTTCTTTGTGTGACATGTGAGATCACGCCTAAGAAAGTAAGAAACGCTGAGAATGATGCTTGTGGACCTGGCTTTGAACTCCTGCTGATCCTGCATAACAGCCAAGCAACCCAAGCAACCCAAGCAAGCAAGCAAGCAAGCAAAGAAGCGAACACTGGAGACCACAGGCTGTCTGACAGCTCGGGGTTACACGGTTCCACCATGTTGATCCATGTTGCACACGAGTCAACTACTTGTAACATGTGGCCGCGTTGTAGCCTTGATAATGTACCACCCTGTGCTTTCCTGTGTGCATGGCACAAGTGCGCAGGTGATTGCAGGATTCACAGAATGTTAGTTACGAATTACGAAAGCAAGCTGAAACACATTGAGTCCTATGCCAGAACACTGACAAAGCTTCGCCACTGGCCGATCTTCTTCTGTGAGGTCTCCTGGCTCCAAACTCTCCAAACCCCAGAGGCATAGCAGACAAGGGCATACGACGTTGCAGGAAGTGTCGAACTGTTGGGTCGAGCCTCGGGTAGCCGCCCAGGCCGCGCTAAGCAGCGGCCGTCGGTTACTGTGGCCACCTCGACACGACTTCAGCAGCCTTGCTTTCATTCAGCTCGTGCATGCGCGCCTGCACCGCTGCATCACTTCCAAACTTGGCTTCCAGAGCTTTCCTGGATGCCAGAACCCAAGTTATCGCCTGGCTGCAACAGCTTCCATCGTTGATATTATGACTGTACTATATGCACTATAATGTGCTATTGTGCTCTCATTGAATCGTTTCAGCCTGGAGAAGTGCCAATGCCGAAGCGGCGAACGGGTTCAACTCGACACCGAAAGTGACAGCAGCAGACACTGCTATCGTGGCTGCCTTGGCACACACAGAGAGCAAAATTGCATAATGGCATAATTGGCATAATACAAGCGCGATGAAGCACGGTCCGCAGGATATACTCCAGAGGCAGAGACGAAGCAATTGCAGAGTAGTTTTACGTCAATGTCAAAACCCTTTCAAGTTTTTGGTGGCTGTGACGTCATAACACCATATGACACCCCTTCAACGACCAGAGCCAAGAGCAGGCCAAGAGTGGTGGCCCGAGAGCGCCTTGCAACAGCAAATCCCGAACCCCATGGACCACGCCGTTTAACAAGCCGTGGGCAAATCAAACTATGTTTGGCTACTACGAACTCCCAACTCCTCCCCTGGTGGCTACGCATCACCAGCTGTTCTAAACTACTATTGTCAGTTACTTGCTTGCGGCTACTAGCAACTACTCGCAACCACCACTACCACTGCCACGGTCCACTACGACGACTACCACTACGACTACTACATTGGTTGTCTTCGGCATCAAATTCTTGCAGATGTCCGGCGGCATTTCGTCTGCGTTCAGGAGTGCCACATGGGTATGGGTCCTACTACTGGCCAGGCTGAGGCCACTTTGCGAGGTGGTACCCGACATGACCTTCGGAAGGCGAGCTCGATGGCATCTGTTTAGAGTCTTCGCTGTTGGCATAATTCCTTGACATGCGGTGGGCTCTACTTCAGCTTCAGGGATGTCGGTCTCTATGAGATTTCTTGCGTGTTCGGAGTGTTTCTCAGTGTCGTTGTACTTGCCAATCTTCAAAGTTGATCATGCTCGATTCGACTGCTGAATTCGTTCGATGGGGCCAGTTCTTCCAGCAGCGCAGCTCCAGACTACCACTGCTGCAATCACAATTGAAATAAGGCGTTTTGGGCGATTGAGGCCAATCCCGCTAAGCTGACATTGATAATTAATAATCGTTTGTAGTGGCCGATTCCCGGGACGGCGAGGTAAGCGAAGGCAGGCCCGAGCTCTCTGTCCACCAAGCCCGGTGCCGTCGCGACAGGCAGCAGCGCACTTTGTTGTTCAGCCTGCAATCTTGCGGCAGACCGACAAGGCGAAGGGATGGCAAAGCAGCACGCCTCATTTGCCAACGTATCTGTCAGTGCGAAAGTTATTCGCCTCCCGGCTATGAGCAGCTCCTTCCACAAAGGTTTCGGACACAGCCACTTGCCATGACAACGAGCTGATCTGCCCAGTCCGCTCGGTAGAGCGCTCGTTCGGCTAGGAAGAGCATGGCAGCGACCTGAAGGCAAGAACCGAACATACCGGAACTGCTGCAGGATGATGCGGCCGGAGGGCATATCTGAGATGTCTGAGGACTGAAGATATCTGAGGATCATGCCACGAAGCTGCTTGCCGCCGTTGATGCAACTGTCCGCTCTTCGAAGCTCCTGTTGGGTCTTTCAGCTGGCACTTGCTGGCCGGGATGGCCACGGCAACCCTACAAGTCTCTGATCTCCTGTAAGACGGAAAGAATGTCAGAAGGATGCCTGGGAGTGCTGCCAAAAGCTGTAGCCTGGGTCAGTCAGCAAAGCTCGAACACATGTGGCACGAGCCAGTGGCCAACCAAAGAGCACCCAAGTAAGACCCCGACAGCCACATGCCTCTTCCACGAACCAGGTCGAACCATCCTGGCTTCACGGTGCTGTTTCGCGCGCCACGCATACCAGAATTTTGCAAATGCCGACATTGCCCATGCAATTCCGCTTGAGCTGCTGATGCCGAAAATTGTTGGCGCAGGTTTTCGGTGTACCTGTAAGCCTCCTAAATGCGGATCATCTGGCACTCGGCCATCACGGTCCCAACCGTACGCGCAAGATCTGACATAAACTGCAACTTCCGACGTGTATTCTATCTTTCTATGCGTTGACAAAGCCGGTCTCAAAGGGCGCTGCCCTGAAACAGGGTTCCAAAGCTCTTCTCACAGGCAATGTTCTGATTGTCCTCCACATACGAGGATCGTAATCAGGCAGGCCTGCCTGTACCGCACCCCAAGATGTTCCATTGTTGATGTCTGTCAATGCATCTTAATCCGAATCACCAGTCGTCTCGCGTTGAAAGCTTTCATGGTTGCCACCGTCACGGTTGCCAATGAGACTTGGCGCGCAATTGAAACTTTCGTTCACCCTGTGAGGGGCAACGAATGTCATGTCGATAAGGCATTGTTGACTAACCAAGATTTGGACAATGGCGCCAGGCACTTCGTTTCTTGGCGTGTGGCGAGTGAATCTGGCAACTCCGATTTGAAAGAAGGGTTCCAGTTTTCAACATGTTCAACTCTCAATGTCCAGTTGGATCGACCATCCTTCCTCACCCGCTCTGCAGCGAATGGAAAATGTTCTGTGAGATGTGGCGGCTCTGAGTAACTTCTCGTCTTCCTATCGTAATCCAGAGTAGTGTTCAGGCTAGTGAGACGAGCAAAGGACGGCAAAGATGTGTGTCCCTTCCACTGCAGTTTAGAGAGCTTGTCTCGGTTAACACTTATCTTCCGCATCGTGGCCCTCCTTAGAGCAAGTATCATAGTCAAGAGACGAGGGCCGAGGGCCCCTCAAAGGATCCCAGGTCAAGTCGGCGGGCGTTCGGAGCTCCAGTACCAGAATGCTTGGCGCATCTTCGTCAAGTGGCTTTGTACAGGAATTGTTGTTAAGTCCGGTGAGACTTTGACTTTGGTGAGACTTTCCGAATCCGAAGCTGGAAGTTTCAGCCGTTTGGGGCCAGGGCGTAGGGCTCAAGGGCTCCAGAACAATAGGTGTCGCAGAACCTGGGAGGCTTCGCATACTGGGCTGCCTTTCGACATCGGGAGCAACTTATTTGCTGCAGAATCACAACTGGTGTGTGGATACAAGCGGAGTAGCTGAGTAGCAGTTGTTGCGTTGTGAATGTTGCGAGTCGACCTGCAGGGTTGCCGCCACACACTTTTGGACACAACCAGACATTTCCAAGAGCCTACCAGAACGCGCCCTCTCTTAACAATTCTTGTCATCGTCTCTGCTGGTGAGGCGCCCCCCAATGAGGTGGAGGCTGCTGACTCTTTTTCTTTGTTTGGAAACCTTTGCCTGCGTGCTCCTATTGCCAGCCACAATCACAATGGCACATGCGCATTCTGCACCGCATCTCTGATTGCCGCCTGACTCAAAGAAGCTCAGGCCGAGGCGGGTCGCAGAGCGTTTCAATTGCTAAGAGTGTGTGAACACAAGACACCAAAAACAAGAAGATACTCATGTAATGTCAAGATACAGGAAATCGGAAATTGGCCACCTATCCAAGAAACGAAACAGTCAGAGAACGCAAAAGCACAGAAAAATTAAATGAAATCTACTGGACGTCTAATACAAAGTTCTGAAATAGAATGACATTGAAAGACTTCTCAAAAAAGTAAAATAGGATGAAGATAGAAGGATTTAAGTCCAGCATGTTAGTCCGATGTCGGTGTGTCAATGATGTGGACGCTTTGCCTTCTCACGACAGTGACAATGTGTGATGCATACCCGTTTCTTCTGCACAGTTGTGACGACGTGTCACACACAACTCAGGTGACGTTGAAAAATCGTTTCAGCACTTAACAAATGACACGATGGTCGAGACAGCGAAGCCCTCAAAGGAGAAACGCATGTTGGGCGCGATACTGCTGAGCGGCCGCAGATATATAAGCTGATCGGATGGTCCGCAAAACTCTGAACCTAAACGAAGTTGAGAAGCCCAGAAGCCACAAAAGAGCATACACGAAAGTATAACCATGTCTAGTCTGTTGAAACCGTGACTCATTCAGGTCTCAGTAAACCCTGCCTTTTAGAAATGTTTGCCAGGCTGACGGCTACCTTCTGGAAGTTGTCCGCGGGACATAGCCCCAGGTTCCAATGGTGATGGTGATAGTGCCGTCCTGCAGGACAAATCCCACAAGGGCAGGATGCAAAGCATGTGCAAAGCATGTGCCAAGTCACCCGATGGAGTCCTGGAAGGTGGCAGCCCAAGTCTGACTTGTGATGTCCAAAGCAGGACCGCCTCGGCATAGGTTCTGCAAGGCACCCACTTTACCGTCGCTCTCATCACTGGAACTGCAGAGTTCAAGCATGTTCAAGCGGTGGCTGTCCGTTACGTTGTCTGGAAACAGCATACAAAGACGCGGTCTTCTTCTTCATTGAGAACGGTGGAAGAGTCCAGAGTCCGGTCAGCCTACGAACCGCAACTCAAGGCACCGGAGCTGGCTAGGCAGAAGCCGGATCGGGACTGTGGCAGACGGAGAGCGGAGGAGCCCCAAAGCTTCTAGGTCTAACACGCGACCCTCTTGTGAACTGGGAAAACCGAGGACAGATTCGCGAGCGGGGGCACGGATTGCAGTGAGTCGGCGACAGAAGCGCCAGGCGATTCGAGCGGGCTCGCCACTTGCCTTCGATGTTGTGGACGCACTTTGCGACGTTCAAGGCCGAGTTCGAAATCCCAAGACACATGTCACAAGCGGCTTCGCCAGGCCCTGCAAACGTAGGGTGGACGGAGTTGGAAACGCTTGCCCCCCGTGGCCCCGCCGAGCTCCGTGTGTGTTGGTGACTGCCATGACCCACACATGCTGACCTTTGACTTTACGTCGCTTCCTGTGCCCATGGGGATCGACACACGGTTCCACACATAGCCGCCCCGCCCAGACAATGCTGACTTGGTCTGCTTTCTTATGGGCAGGAGGCGGGACCCGGTCCAGTATCCAGTCCCACATGTAGCACCTTTCATCCCTCATCTTCCTCCTCTTCCTCATCTTCTGCTGCTGCGTTGCCTTCTTCCTCTGCTGCTGCTGCTGCTGTTGCGTTTGTGGGGGGGTCGCCGCTGCTGCCCCAGTGCGTCTCGCTCTCATCGTCTGGGTCTTGTTGCCCCTGATGATTGGTGGGGCGGTGAGCCTCTGCCACTGCTGTTGCCTCTCTCTCTCTCTTCCTTCCTTCCTGCGCCCGAAGGCGTGCAGGACCGAGTCTGTCTGTGAAACTCTTTCCCTTCTTGTTTTGAATTTCTTTTTCTTCTTCTACTGCTGGGCTTGAAGGGCCCGAAGGGACCCCAAGCTCGCAGAGCCTATCTCTCCTGCTTCTCTTCCTCTGCCAGGCATGAGAGCCAGGGTTACCTCTGAACGGCCGCGCGCATGGCGTGCCCATCGTTCACAGTCGGAATGGTGATACACAGGTGAAAACTGTCGGGAGCTGTTGTTGTAAAAGTGGGATCGGCGTTGATCCCGCCTGAACTGCGCCCTTTCTCTGGCAAACTTCTCTTTCGAGCTATTTAATTTGGCGACTTGGGGATGGTGATGGATGGTGATGGATGGTGATCACAGTGCACTTGGGCCTTCGGTCGGAGTCGCTGACTTCAAGCTGGTTACGGATAGTACACGAAGGGCCCTCGGCCAAAATCGCTGACATCAGGCTTCTCACGGATGGTAAGCAAATGTAAACAAATGGAGCGGATCTCTTCTTCTTCCTGTTCCTTGCGCGTGCGCGTGCGCGTGCCTGTTCGCGTGCTTGTGCGCGTGCGCGTGCCTGTGCGCGTGCGCGTGTGCCTGTGCGCGTGCCTGTTCGGGTGCTTGTGCGCGTGTGCGTGTGCCTGTGCGCGTGCCTGTTCGCGTGCTTGTGCGCGTGTGCGTGGCTGTGCGCGTGCGCGTGCGCGTGCGCGCGCGCGCGCGCGCGCGCGCGCGCGCGTGCGCGCTGCGGTGCGCGCGTGCGCGTGCGCGCGCGCGTGCGCGTGCGCGCGCGCGCGCGTGCGCGCGTGCGCGTGTGCGCGTGTGCGCGTGTGAGCGTGTGTGGGTGTGAGCGTGTGAGTGTGTGAGCGTGTGAGTGTGTGAGTGTGTGAGTGTGTGAGTGTGAGTGTGTGTGTGTGTGTGTGTGTGTGTGTGTGCATGAACAGTTTTCTGATGAATGTCGTCCTCTTCGGATCTGTTGTCAGGTGCAGCACTTTCCAAAAATGCACTCTTCCAGGGGCTTCCAAATTTTAAGGCATGTTCACAAAAGGCATGAACGCGTGGTAGTGTGCTTTCGTTCCTGAACCGTCAAAATTTGTTGCGCAGAAGCGTCAAACAACGTTGTTCTGTATATTGTCACTGTACAAAGGGGCAAAGCCGCGAATACAAGCGTTCTCGGCAGGAAATGCGCCCTCCTCGCCCCTCCCCCTCCCGAGAGAACGAAAACGCACACACACACACACACACACACACACCCCTACACCTGCTGAAACCTCGGCACATGTGGGTAGCTTTCCCATGTACCCCGTTTGGCCCTTGGGCTCGTCTCAACCAGTATCGCTCCCCCCTGTACCCCGACCCGCTTCGGTTGAGGCGCAAGCATGTGGGATTCTTCGCTGAGCTTTTGGGGGCTCAGGTGGGGCGGGGCGGTCGCACGTTGAGAATCGCTCCGGGTGCTGCGGCCTTTCCTTCGGGTCCGTTTCGACCAATGCGCATTCGGGCTGCGGCGGAGGGCGGGCTCCGCTTACGGGCTCTGGACCGTCGATGCCCCGGAGGGCATGAGCATGTGCGGATCTCCAACCCAAACTACCCACCAAAGAAGCTCGGCAGTGCTCTGCCTTTCCGAACGGCAAAGCAGGTTGAGGGTTAGTGAATATGGGGTATCCTGAATAGTGTGACCCAGTTGTGGAATATTCCCGCGATGGGGTCAGTCATGGAAACATGGTCATGCTTTGTTGTGAGGTCAGTGTCAACTGGCCATTCCCGTAGTAGGTGTGTCACGATGTTGAGCCAACAGTTTCCACAGCTTCGGGCCGTTCTGAGCACGGGACTCTGACTGGCAGCACACTGGCGATGGCAGCACCCTTCGCATCTAACATTATCTAACCATTTGCCAACTCATGTCATTGCAGCATTGCACACGAAAACACCCAAGCATGCGAAGCAGTCGGTGCGAAGTAAGCGGCTGGCAATATGCGAGCTCACCAATAAAAGCCTCCAGCATTGCTGAGCACAGCTCAGCCACTGATACCTGCAAAGAAGGCTGCGGCAATAAGTCGCCAAGGTCTGTGTCTCTATCTTGTCAGAATAGCATCTTGCGATGGAAAATCAAACTTCCTTAGACCCGCTCGTTCAGATGAGGGTTTGAGCTTCAGACTGGAGGGTTCCAAGTTTGGGTCTAGGGCTGGAGTTTCGAAAGTTTCGGGGTCAGGCCCTTAACCTGTGCATACGTTTCAGCTTTGACCCTCAGGGTACTGGGGAAACATGCAGCTGCACTTTGCATTTTACGGCTACTCCTGCACAGTTCGAGTGGCACCAATCCTGCCTTAAAACAGGTGAGAAAACTCGCCCCTCGAGAGAATCAGAAATAATCTCACCGCACAGATAGCACCATTTCACATTCGGCGCGACACATCTTCAAAAACACGACGGCCCGAAGTCGTGGAAGATCAGTATGCAGTGTGCCCAGTCACGTGTCTGCTTCCAGTTGCTGACCGTCAGCTGCCGGGTAGTGAACATGCGGTGATCACAGGGTGTTAAGGCGTTGAGGCAAATCAGCTGGATCCAACATCTGTGCTCGATCGGTGAGCTGCCCCGGGGGAAGCTTTCAGTGCAACCAAGCTTGCCTCTGTAAACTAGCCTGATTTGCCAAGGAAACTTGAAACAAATGGAGGTTTCCTTTTCGAAATCTGTTCAAATATTCTCCTGGAAGAATTACACTCTCACACACACACACACACACACACACACACACACACACACACACGGACACACCCGGGCAAACATGCTCTCAGCGAGTGGCCTTGCTGCAAGAGGCCAATGCTTGCTGGAAATGACAGACAGAACCTTGGCTGCTGAGCACTGATTCGAAGCCAAGTCAAGCAAGCAATCGCATGCTCACACGAACCTTCCAACTGCAGCTGGAAAGCACAGGTAGCCGCAGTGACACCGGCCCAAGCCACCAGTTGCGAGCGAAACTGCATGGCAGATGCAGACAGCTCCTCTCAGCCAGCACGATCTTCTCAAAACATCTCTCACAACAGTCCGTCTTCCTCCCTTCCTGCCACTGCACATGGCCCCCCGGAAGGAGGACCGCTCGAAGGGGCGTGCTCCAGCGATCTGTCGGTTGTGAAACTAGTCGCGGTGCTGTCGGAGGTTACCACCCGGGCTGAATGGTTATCATGTGGGGAAAAGGTGTGAGCCTGTAGGTAAAGATGTGGAACTCCCGTTAGTTTGCCCCTCCCAACAGTCTCTTTCTTTCTTTCTTTCTTTCTTTCTTTCTGGGGGCGTGGGGGCGAACCCCCGGGCGTCATCGCCCACCCCTGTCTTTGGGGCGGCTTGGGAGGAAGCGGAAGAAACCTGGTTTCGATTGTGCGTCCCCTCCCCCTTTGCAGGTTCTCGGGGAATTACGTGCCGCCTCGGTCCCTCTCTCTCTCTTCTTCTTCTTCCTCTTCTTCTTCTTCTTCTGCCCAGCAAAGAGAGCCCCGAAGGACCCCCTTCTTCTTCTTCTTCTACCCAGCGAAGGCCCCCCCCCCCCCCCCCGAAAGGAGGACACCGGCCCCGACGGCCCGTTGCTCTGTCTGTCGGTCTCAGGATCTTGTTGACCCCGGAGTGGGGCCACGAGCCATTTCACTCGCACCCAAAGCTTTCGGGCCCCTCACTGCTTTCCCTGCGGCTCCATTGCACCATCTCTACCCTGTTGGCTTTCCGCTTTGTGCACTGTGTCCCCTTCGTCAGGCAGCTCTTCCATGTTTGGACCCCCTCTCTCTCTCTCTCTTTCTTTCTTTCTTTCTTTCTTTCTCTCTCTCGCTCTCTCTCTCTCTCTCTCTCTCTCTCTTCCTTCCTCCCCCACATTCATGTTCACCTCATTTTTATAAACCACCCCTCAACTAAGAAACCCCAAGCCCGGAACGCAACTATAAACACTTCCGCAATCAAGCAACCCCGGTCCAGCCAGAGACTGAGGGGGGGTCGGGGGTGAAACAAAAATCAATGGAGACGGCGGGGGGAGGGGGGGGGGTATTACTTCTCTCCTCCAGGGTGCTGGTGGCGGCCTTGATGTCCGCTGCTTTCACCTCTCTCGAGAAGGAGGAGGAATACGTGCCGTGTAGAGAGCGAGAGAGCGCGAGAGCGAGAGAGCGAGAGAGCGAGAGAGCGAGAGAGCGAAAGAGCGAAAGAGCGAGAGAGAGTGAGAGTGAGAGAGAGAGAGAGGTTTTTATTTGAAGACCAGCAGCCTCGGCAGCAGAGAGAAGCGCCGAAGCTCCGAGGCGCTGAGAGGAGAGCGATAGAAGGAGAAACAGAGACTCTGACATACGTTTTCTGGGCACTTTCCCTCATGTTCCCCTGTTAATTCCTCCCTCCATTCTTTTCCCCACTTAAGTGTTTGCCGCCAACATCGTCGAATCGGAGTCGGGTTGCTTTGGCCGCGGAGACACTTCGACGAGCATCACTTTCTGAAGCCTTGGGCACTGGAACCGCAGATATCGGAAATGCCACTTCCAGAGATTCAGAGATGGCACTGCCAGCTCTGGGGCTGGAGCCGCAACAAAAATGGTTAAGACAGCCCCTGCCACCGGCAACACAACCTGCCGGAGTCGTTGTCAAGCTGTCAAGACTTTGTCACGCCAGTGCTGGAAACAATTGCAGGACCTGCCTCGCTGCTGGAAAAGAGAAACCATGGCTGTAGCACTGAAGCCATAGCGACCAGGCCCACCACGGACAAGGTGCGAAACCAAGTCCTAGAGTTGAACCTTGGTTGCGATAAGCCAGCATATCCGAAAAGCTTCTGCTAGTTTGTGTTGGCCATGGACATTTCACTGCGTGAGGCAGGGGCCTTGTCAATGTGCGAAACTCCTGTAGATTTCGCTGGACACTTTGAACTGCCTGCAAAATGAAGTGGGCCATATATAATGTACCTTACAAATTACAACAACAGAAACGTCACCATCATGTGCGGGCCGCTAGCACTTGAACGAGATGCACCTGCTCAGCTGGTGCTGGTTTGTACGCCTCAGCTGGGCCTCGATCTTCCCAAACATTCTTCAGCCTGCAGGCCATTGGCATGCCATGGCCATCAGGCTTTTGAAAGCTAAATTGGCACACATCAAGTTGTCCGATACGAGTAACACTTGAAAAACCGCGGGATGACCCAGCTTAGGTGTCAGAGAATGCGGGGAATGGCTGAACATTGCAATGGTGCCTTGCTTGCTATATGTGCACGCCAGAGCACTGTGTGAACAAAAGCTTGGGCCGTGAGAAGTCTGGCCTGATGAAGCCCCGTCGAAGTCTGTTCAAGTTGATGCGGGTCAGAATGCCGGGATCAAAGCTCCACCTTCCAAAGTGCCAAGTCTTGGGACTGCAAAAATGCAAAGAAAACATCAGATCATGAAATCAAGATCGCGGAATGCAGTGGCGCCTGGATGCTGGCCTCTCTCTCGACAATCTGATCCGACCTTCGCCAGACAGTCGCCGCAGTTGTGCCCATGGCTCCGCCTTGCAATGCAATTCAAGGGCCCTGCTCAATGACTTGGCTCTAGCTGTATCTTGCTGCCTTCATAACTTTCTGCATGTCCAGAAAATCCTGCTCGAGAAATGATGCAAACAAAGCCTTTCAGACTCATCATCACTCGCAACTGTCCTTTTCCAACTTCTCAGCCGCCGTTTGGGCTTGCCTGCAAGCAAGGGTAAGTGCGGCTTGCGGGCCCGCGATGGCGCATGAACCTCGTGATCGATCGAGCCTGTTGAGCTGAACTGAGCGTACAAGAACTGCTGCACCCAGTGCAGGAAACAATGCACACCTGGGCATGTGCCACATTGTGCCTTATGCCATTCCCTCCTCCAGATCTGCAGGACTCTGCGGGTGAGGCAGGCCTGTTTGATCCACTGTGCCCTTCTAGCTTCTCTTGACGACTTGTTGCACGCAGAGACAGCAACGTGCGCTTCCGGGAAGCCATAATGTGTGAGTTATTCTGTGCTTCGGCTTCAATCTTTCTCAGGTACAATTGGCAAATTACCAACCAACTCGGCATCGTCGAGGCACCTACCTCTGAACCTTGTGGATCTGTGTCAGCTGCTGTCACTTCAACTCTGAGAATCGACATGGAGCAACTTGTCGGCTTGAGGACCTTCTTCTAGAATCATCCGTCCGAGTCGCAGGGGAGGCAGCCGTCCCTTCTCAGAACCCCTCAGATCTTTTGCCAGGACGCAGGGGCAAGGAGAACTCGACCAGCGCGGTAGCGACCAAAGTGGCAACCTTGCCGCTGAGGCAGGGTCTTACAGTATTACAGGGCCAAGTGACCAAGCGTTCAGGTTTTGAGGCTCCAGTGGCTCAACTACTCTCAACTACTACTCAACATCCCTCAACTCCTGTGACACCTACCAAGCATCTCTGAGCTAGGCCAGCTACTGGCCAGCTAAGCTAAGCCAAGCTTCCACAGCCAGGGAAGTGCGCGCCGGCAGTGCCCGGACCGAGAACTGCGCGAGCTGCGACCAGGCTTCAGCGGTAGCAACGGCACGGCTGGCCCTTGCGATGCTTCCTTAACCCAAGCTCACTCATGGATCCCTGGAAACAGTACATGCCATTGCCCAGCCTTCTGCATCAGCCACATAGGACAAGCTTTCGGACATTGCCAGCGCAATCTCTGCTGACAGCGCGGCGCAGGCAACAGTGGCACTACCAGAGAGATCGCACGGGCAAATCACCGCGCACGTTGCTGGTAGAAGCCACCATTTCCTCAACAGCCCACCCCTGATATGTCGCTGTGCCTCTAGCTGCTCATGTTTTTAGCATACAAAAGCATGAAGAACATGAGCTGCCAATTGCTGCTGTGGAGGCCGTCTCCAGAAGGACCGCCGGGAAGGTGTGGGCTTGGCATCCACACACCGCATACCAGCTGACGCGAACCTCTCCACTTTGTGCCGCCGGTGCATTGCTACCGAACAAGCTGCCATTGCCGGAATGACCATTGACAAGGCTGTCCACCTTAAAAGGTTGCCAGTGTAGAACTCGGCTGAAAGCACAGTGGCTGTCGTGGCAAGGGTTGCCTAGGACTGCTTTTGGCTTCACGACATGTACGACTACTTGCTTAAGAAGCCCCGAAAATTTGACAAAAACTCTTCCTTACAAGGGTGCTATAATGCTTCAAGGGGTTGCGACTGCCAGGTCGGTTGGGAATGGTGCATATGCCAGTTGCGCGCGACCTAAAAAAAGCTCTGCCCGGGCTTCCCTGGTCAAAAGAAATGCGCTCTGCCTCTTGGCGGTTGCCACTGCACCCTTTCCCGCTGTCTCCTGCCATGCGGTGCAGAGCCCAACAGTTCCCGTGGCCAGAGGCAGAAACAGTTCAGCTGCACCACTTCCCAGAAGCCAGGGAGAGGCCGTGCTCAGAGCAGTAAGCAACCCCGCCAACGTGGTCTCCGTTTGCCCCCTTTGTCGCAGACTTCTCAGAATTTGAACTCTTTCCGTCTCCAGATTCTGTATGAATGTATTGAAATCACTCATGAAGCCCTCGTCAGGTGGGCCATCATCCGCAAGCGCTCCCCGACTTGATAAAATGTTCGTGACCCGAACGCTCCGAGACCGGGTGCCAGGCCTCGACAGGCCGAAGGATTGCGACAACATTCCCAGCTCCGCAGCCACAAGATGCACTTTTCTCCGTTGTTCCGTGGAGAGACCCCGAAAATCCTTCATGCAGTCTGCATCAAGGCTTCGAAGCTCGGCCCGCACAGACTCCGTGAAGTCATCCAGTGAGAAATCAAGCTGCAGCTGCCGTAAGTCTCGAACTGCTGCAGATACGGTGTC